GGTACCCTGGTAACTGTAGTGGCCAAATTCGTTGAGTATCTTCTATTCACTATTCTTGTGAGTATTTAAGTTTAAAGCTCTTCGATACTACCCAAGCAAAAGTAACCTTAAGTCGAATAAAATCGCTAAAATATCTTCCTATTGGTGAACTAGACTAGACTAGTACTGTATGTATATTGTAAGAATCAACATGCAGACTACCATGCAACAGTGATAATATATGAAATGAAATAAAACTTAAAAATAAAAATAAATTTAGATGAAAAAGACTACAAAAATCAAATTTTTAAACATTCTAAAAAGAAAAAATGCACTTGAAACTGAATAAACAAAAATGAAATGTATTTGATCTGCACACAAATAATTCTAAAAAAAATATGTATTTCAAAATAATTAAAACTGTTTAATTCTATTTGAAGTTTACTTTTAAACGAGTTTAAATAAAATTTAAAAACTATTAAAAATTTGTTGTTAAAAACTATTTAACTTTTAAATATTTCAAAATATTCTGTTGTTGAATGGATTCGCGTACAAGTGACTGATACATTTTTTTCTAAAGAAATGTAATGAATGTGTAATGTCGTGTAATGATCGGGTACTGTCCATGGACCCGGTAACAATTTAAAATACGGAAAGAGCGTGAGTTCATTACATCTAATGCATTCAAAAGTGTTCGATTGAATTTTTTTCACGATCCGTGTGCCTAGTGCGAGTTTTTAACGTTCTCGATAGCGTAAAAGTTAACGCAAATTTGTATGCAGTTGGAACAGCGCCCCTAGAGGCATACGTAGGCAAATTTCCAGCTCCATACAAATTTAAGTTAACTTTTACGCTACCGAGAACGTTAAAAAACTCGCACAAAGCACACTGAAGTTAATTATACTAATCTGTGGTTATACAGAGTCATAGGTATGGAAACCTGTAAATCTGTGTGATGACTCTGTATAGTCGTTACAATAGGTAACTGGTGAATGGGAAACGTTCTCGAAAAACTAAGACAGGTTTCAATCANACTCCATACAAATTTAAGTTAACTTTTACGCTACCGAGAACGTTAAAAAACTCGCACAAAGCACACTGAAGTTAATTATACTAATCTGTGGTTATACAGAGTCATAGGTATGGAAACCTGTAAATCTGTGTGATGACTCTGTATAGTCGTTACAATAGGTAACTGGTGAATGGGAAACGTTCTCGAAAAACTAAGACAGGTTTCAATCAAAACTTTCGTAATTTGATGGTATTTTGGCACGGCACGCAATGTAGTTAATACAAAACAAAATATACTGGCGCGCTAGTCAATAGTCAATGATGTTTTGTCACTATATTATCTAACAATAAAAGTAATAAACATTTTTTATTACAAATTTAACACAAGCATACCCCACCCTTATACACTCATACCCAAAAATCAGATAGTGCCCTGCGTATACAATACAATAATACCTTCAATGATGACTATTTCGCGATAATACCCAAAAAGTTTTTCCTACCTAAGCTGATAGCCTTGAGAGGCTATTTCAGCGTAACCGTGGCTAGTAGGTGAGCTCACGGGGCTCAAACCTGACGACGATGCTAACACGAATCCTAGCAAGAGCCGTGCTTCGCAGAATCTACCACCGGATCGGAAACGCGACCCACTGAGAAGATCCGGCGAGAAACTCAGTGGGCTGTGTCTGAGAGTTAGGGGGGACCAACAACGTCTTGAAGAAAACCTGGATGGACCGACCTTGCGTAGAACATGCAACTTGATGAGGCCGCCAGGGACAAATTTGATTTGTTTTAATTTAAAAATATTTACTAACATGGTTCTTAAGTTATATGGAATACTAACACAGTATGAGCCCATGATGTTCCGATTTTTTTTTTTTTTTTGTTTGTTTGTTTGTGTACCACGGTGAATCGAATAAGTACATAGCGTTAGCAATCACAGAATAGAATAAATGCAACTAAAACCTAAGTCGTTAAAGATAACGACAATTTCAAAATAACCTTGCTAATACATGTTTAGAACAACAATGCTTTGGCCTTCGGTCAACGTGCAAAAACATCCGCTTGGTGCATTTTTTCTTTTGACAGTCCTCGCATTATTTATTTCAATGTAATAGGTATAATTCGACATTAATACCAATATAATAATACAGATAATTTAATACCAAACACAATAAACCTACTTTTAATAAGACCGAGATATAATTAAAACATATAACATGAACTAATTGAATCCGCATCAGACATTCACATTAAATAAATAGCATTTCACTGCCATTAATTCTGATAATCAAAACGAGAACTACGTATCCATCAATTATTGTCAACGTGTTTATATTAGTAAATACCACTGACGATGCTGGAGTATTCATTATGCTAATTATAATAAAGAATCCTGTATAATTATAGTCTAGTAGATATCAGTGCCATGTATCGCAGACTGTAGTTGATATCCTGCAATGTGTGCCGCCAGTCAATGAACCCTCAGTCGGTAGTCCATAAGCTACCTAGCTACCGATTGAATATAAATAAACAAAAGTGAACGACAAGTAAATTTATTAACATATACGTATAGTTTTTGACTAACTAGAGATCACTAAGTAATCGAAATTTGATCATAATCACTGACACCCCAAGATTTATATCTATCTTTATACGTATCGTACCACTTTGTCGAAATGTAAGTGTTCAATAAAAATTTTAATAAATCATTATTTTAAACATATCATAGGAAACGTAATTGATGAACCTTTGATAAACTGCTAAATAATGCTTTAGGCAATTTTTCCCCCTTTTGGGCCTCCTACGAGTTTCTCGCGCCAAGGGGACGCGCGGGGTATGTGGGACTGGTCTGCAGATGCTGGGAGCGGATCACGGTCCCAAGGGATAGAATTTACGACCCTACCAACTAAACGACTCCCCTGCACTTTCGCCTAAGTGTCGGATCCCCCCCGAGATCAGAACCCAGGTAAGGGGCTTACCGCGGTCAACACTACAACCAGACAGCGCAGCTCACTCCAAGGACGCCCCGTCGACGGAGCCTTCGAGGCGAAGTACGAAAGCTCTAGACCGTCTCGGTAAGACAGCGCGTCAGGCCGCCCAGACGGTGCCGCTGGTGTCCCGGAATACCGCGCTGGTCCAGAACCAGCCGGCCAGGTCGGGATGCGATACACCGCCAACCGGTTGCTCTTACGATGTTACTTCTTGGCGTCGTGGTAGAGTGCTGGTAGCGCCTCGAGCCCCCCAGGTCATCCAGTAACCTTCACCAGGGGGAAGCAGCTTTCTACAGGGGTCGGACATACGTTCGTAGTGTGCTCTCTGGCCTTCTGCTCGATATCGACCGATCGCACTCTTCTCATCTCTCGACGCATCGCAATATTGTGGACTCGCAGAAGTCGAGCATCGCTTTCCAGGACGCGTCGCTGCCGAGCATCGTAGACATGACCCCCCCTATGACCGCGACGAGGGCGGTGAAAGACATTTTTTCCCCTACCTAAACGCTGGTAGCCTTTTTTTTCGGGCATGGGGCCGAACCTCATAGGAGGTGTTCGTTCGGCTATTCATGGACTGGTAGGTAAGCTCACACTGAGACCTTAGAACTTATATCTCAAGGTGTGTGGCGCATTTACGTTGTAGATGTCTATGGGTTCCAGTAACCACTTAACACCAGGTGGGCTGTGAGCTCGTCCACACATCTAGGCAATAAATAAAAATAAATAAAATATTACATACCTCTTGTAAAGGTTACGTATACGTTTTTTTTACGAATTTTCTATTAAGAAATAGGATATTGGAATTAAATTAATAAATTTGTGTAATTACTTATAGTGGGGTACATATAGTAAATCCGAATGTGCGCACCACCACCAATTTTTACAGCGAAGGATGAATGAGATCCAGCTTAAAGGGGAGATAACCAATACACTTGATACTGAGACTTAGAACTTAAGATAGGTGGCGGCATTCATTGTAGTGACTATAGCTGTCTTTTCCCCCAGTGTACGCCATAATAAATATAGAATTCCCAATTGAACGTTCTCACAGAGTAAGAACAATCATTCTAAGCCGCTAACTCCTACTATACACTATGTAACATCAGGTAACGCAACACACTAGGTAACGCCACATACTCGGTAGCACCATACTATGAGAAAGGACGATTGTTATTTTCAGATGTCAATTGTACAAAGCTATCCTTGTGTAATGGCTTGCCATTTTATTTAATTACTATTTATGACCAGACCTGTAGTTGTAGGAACTGATATCCTGTATCTAATTGTCCACCGCCATGTGGTTATTGTGTTTTCGTCCTATACCTAAATAGTTGCCTAGTCTATTTCTAAATGTTAACATTAGGTGCTAAAACGAATTCTTCGGATAACTTATTCCATTCTCTTACGATCCAACACGGGTTATTGTGAGAAAAGCAATTTTAGATTGTACCCTGTGTTGATTTAGTGCCGAGTTCTTACTTATTAAAGTTAGACAAGGGTCTTGTCAGGTGTCACAAAGCGGGTTAGAAAAATGACATTAGGTTTTTTTTGTTCATTATTTACGAATATATCGACAAACATAATCACAGACCTTTTGTGCTTACTAAAGCGATATTGTATTGTACTAGATAAAAAGTATTGTACTAGACAGATCACGCATCTCAATCAAACGGCTGTGAGAAATTTTCCTGTCACATGACAATTTGTCCTTATATGCATAGCGACAGTGCCATCCTTCAAGCTGGAACGCATACCTGTCTCGCGGCAGAAATGGTAGTAACTACAAAAGAACAAGGAGTAATATTGAGCCTTTCACACAATGGCTCATGTTTTGGAAACAATGTCGATTTGCAGAGAGTGATCCGTTTACTGTCAGCTTGTAATCTCATCTTAGGAGTGTCGTGTACTACTGTGTTGACTTTGTTGATCTGAGGGGGGCGGAGCGCGGCGCGGGGCGTGTCGGAGCGGTGGCTGCGCGTGCGCCGCCCATCTTCAGTTAAGCTTATATTAAAGGCACGCATCGCACGCAGTGACACGAAAGCGCAACAGCTGTCGGCGTAAAACAACGCGCTTCGTGTGCTGTGCAACGTAACTCGCGTTCTGGTCGTCGGCAGTTCTCCGCACCGTTTCACGTCTGAACGGAGGCTGGTTGGTGTTTTTGGACTAGATCATCCGTCAAATTCGAAGGTAAATAATTTCCTTGTTTAAAAGTAATCTTTCATTATTGATGTAGATATTCAATATGTATAAGTAAATATTATATTTGACGTCTAAATATATTACAGTAGAATATTAAGTACCTATATATAAAAAATTAGTTTTGATGGTTTGACGATTCATATGGTGCCAAATGGATAACGGGCCCATGGATTTTACAACATCAATTTGGATTCTCACCTAAAGAAGCGGGCGAAGCCCAACCGCAGTCCTATTATTATGAAAATTATTTTTTGCATTCTTTATTCTCATCGGTTTTTAATGATTATGTGCAATGTTTGAACAACGCAATGCCCGTTCACGGGGAAATAATACAATAAAAAAATATCAACGAACCTATGTCGATGAAATACATATATTTGTTGTATATACATTTCCCAAGTTCATAAATTGATATTATATTATGTTATATAACATGCTTACAAATTACTACTCTAATAGAACTATTAAATGACATATTTTATTTGATAAATATTTACGCTTTGACCTATAGTATTGATTTATGTTTTGAATCCAGTGGAAGTTTCCAAAAGAGGTATATGTGATAGGGCTTTAACAGGAAAATTTTGATTGTTAAAAAAATAACAAATAATAATAGATAAATAAGATCACCAATCAAACAACATTTAAGTGTATTTACATTATTACATTTAATTTCTATAAAATATTGTTGTTTTAATTAGCACGTACCTACTTGTTGTTTATTTCAACCAAGTACTTTGCTCAGTCAGCTGTTTTACGACTCAGTACAGTCCCGTTCATTTATGCAGCCCAGGAACTATGCGGATTAGAATAAAGTATAGGGTAACCATTTTTATTGTCTGTTGCTAGATCGAGGGCGTCGCGAAAATTATACAGTGTAATGTGTGTGTCGGTGTATGGGGTAATTTAATGCGATACAATAAAAATTTATTACCAGGTTGCTTGAAAGATCATCTAGCCACTTAATGGGAAAAACAATGACATCAATCAACAAAAACACTATCATGCCCTTATTAACAAGAATCATGCATCGCTCAATTGTCAACAAGTAATAAATTGAGATACAGTGTAATTACATTCAAAAAAGCGTCTTTGGTAGCCACATTCTAGAACATGAATTATGATGATGCTAGTGATCTAGGTCATCATAGCGGGGAATAAGATTCATCGAAACAATACTTCAACTCTTAGTCCTTTAGGGGCTTCGTTATCTAACTACTGTCTATAGTATGATTATACCTGCATCTTGACTGTTTTTCAATGTTAATTATGTTTTGGTATGCAAAATAGTATACTCACTCTGAGCCTCTCTCTCATGTAAAAAATTGTAGTATCGTCATCAGATTAATATCGTGTAAGAGTCAACCATGTTGATGTTAATTATGCTATTATACATTAGGCTCCAAGTCAATTGCATATATATAAAAACTTGCATAGAATGTTAACGAAAATATTAGATAAAAATAAGCGACTATTAAAATAATCAATTAAAATCTATTCACCGCCAACTGAGACAGAATCTATATGAGAACTGTTTGACCCGGCTTAGTTAATTATGTGCCATTTTAATGATCGTAGATATATGTAAACGCGCTACGATTTTCTGTGAACGTCACTAAATTTAATATTTAAAACTAAACGTTGAAATTACTCTATTGTTATATTAGCTCTTTTCCATAATTGTTATTAACAACTGTATAAAATTTTCACCTCTATTAAAAAAATTACGCGCGAACACATCGAAAACGAACAACAAAAAAAACTCACAAATTCTCGATTTTTAAATTATAAAACCACGTTAAAGGTTACAAAACTCAATACTCTCGAAACTATAAATATTTTAAAGTCAACCTTCGCAATATTTTTGACCTTTATGTTGAATGCAAAACAACAACAACAAATGTTCCAAACAAAATTCCACGACCACTCAATATCGACCCTTCTCAATTCTTAATTATAGTTCTTCAATCGTAACGAGTTGTTTTAAAATACAAATTTAAATCCACCTATTTTAAATTCCAATGTAAATAAAATTTTACCTGCGTAATTTATTAAGGTCATTACCAACTTATTCTTTGAATAGCGTAGAGTAATGGCCTAACAAAATGCATCATACGTGTTTTGCAGCTATCGTCTAGGTGTTTGAACTTGAGAGACAGGTCAATGTTTAAATTGGGGTCGAAAGCGGTCATACTGCGAACTCGGAAGCTGACATTTGTGAGAGTGACCCCTGGTGCGGTTAATTCTTTTGCATTCGACAAACACGATTTACTTTGTAACCAATATGTCCCTAACAATGAAATAATTATCAAATCAATAATAATTTTGGCGACGATTGTAAGTAGTGCCTGCTTAAGTTTATGTAATTATTATACAAAAAAATATGGAAATAAACAAGAAAACACCTATTTTTATTAATTGTTGCATTTTTTTTAAATATTTTGGTAATTATAGATAATCGTCGCTCATGGATACTAACAATGCCAAATGTTCTGGATGACTAAAACTCAACCCACATAGTACTATAGTACTACATACATGATGTTTACTGAAGCCTATTTCAAAACGTTAATGCCGCCGTAAGTTACGAGACGTGAAGTCGATGTCTCAATTTTAGGGTGGCTGTCCCACAGCTTTGGACAACTCAACTGCTTCGCAGAATAAATAAGCAACATACAAGCACCTTTTTATTCGAGCAGACGACTGAACCTCTTACATGAGGTTTCCGCACCTAGGGGCCGCGAGCCCAAGGATGTTTTTACACTACCCCCTAAACGATTCCCCTTGAACTCTCTCACCCAACGTCCGATCTCCGCCCGAGATCAGAACCTGGTCAGAGTAAGGGGCTTCTTGTGGTTAACATCACAACCAGACTTGCGGTGCCAAACCGAAGGCGCCCGACTGATGGGTTGTCGAAGTCTAGTCGGGTCGACTGTTGACGACGCCGGTCTCAGAGATACGCTGGCCCATCAGGCCGGACGAGCAGTGCCGGTGTTGTTCCAGGATACCCCGTTGAGTCAGAACCAGCCTGCCGGGTCGGAGCGCTATACGCCGCCGCCCGGTTTGCTCTTCCATAATACGTTCGACGATAATGCGGACCGTAACCGCCGTCGCGTCGTCCCATCCTCCTGGTGCCAGCGCGCTAGTGACGGTAGCGTGCCTCGACCTCAGCCTCGACTCCCTTAGGTCGCCCTGACCACCCTGACCATCACCGCGATGAGGCTACCTGCTCATAGAGGCCTTAGCTGGACGAATGTCCGACCCCCGACTAGGCGGCAACGGCATGACGCCAAGAGAGAAGAAGAGCTCTCCCTCTTCGATTCTGCCACCACCTTCTGTTATATGTTGGAATCTCAGAAGTCTAGCATAGCCTGCTAGTACTCGACAGCCGCGACAGGTCCGGCCCTATCCTCGCGACGAGGACACAGCGCTGCCTCAGTAGCAGTACGCAAGCGTGTGCTCCGCCGTGTCATCAATGCCAATGCAGCCAATGCAACGAGGTGCAGGTAGCGGCCGAACATGGAAGTACCTACCATTACCTCACTAACATATTCATAGTAGCCCGGAGTACAATTACCCCGCCCTTTCCTTTCAATCATCGATTGTCACTTGCAAATTATCCCTATTGTCTGGAACTGCTGCATTCATTCACACTCTATTTCAAAAGATTATATTAAACTTAACAAATTCACACTGTTTCCAGAGTACTACAACATATTATAATTTTGCAGACGAAATACGATTAAAAAAAATCGCCTTAATCTATATTAGGCATATGCATATAGGCATTGCTGCTGATACGACGAGTAATTAAAAAATACAAGTTGCCTCACATCTAAAACTTACTATTGATTAACGTTTTTTTTTCGTAAAATACGCAATTCAATGTTTGGCATAGTTTTATTCAGAAATTGATAGTTCAGTACGCGTGAACCGAGACGCTACTTAGATGTTGTGTCGCGTCATATTCATACGAGTCAGCTGCCTGACAACAAGACATCAGCATTATTAGGTACCTACGAGACGGAAACACGCGCTCTCTGTGTGACCAGGGATACCAGAGTCCAACAGTAACATTTAATAAAGAATATAAAACATTACATGAACGTGATATTAGATTTTTTTTTACCAGAAAGAACCTGGCTGACTTTATCAAATTAAATATATTGAACTCGAATAAAACTTTTAAAATAAGTTAAACGTAAATATACTCAATAATTCTCATATAATAGTATGTAACATTTGAACATAAAACGTTATTGTAAATTTTTTAGTAAAAAAAATGTTAGTGAAAATATATTAGGACCGTATTGGATACGTGTTCTATCAAATTTTTTTATCAATCATTTTTCGAGATTTAAGGGCAATAAAGCATGTAATCAGAAGATTTTTTTTACATTTCTATACCTGTCTTTCTCAGTAGAAATAAATAGAATGCTTCTTGCCAATGTGGTCGCAGAGCAGGCCGTACCACCAGTACTTACGTAAATTTACTAAATTACATTCTAATTTCTACTCTAGTTTTACACATTTAATCTAATACAAACTTGGAGCAGCCCTAAATGCATGACCGGTTGCAATAACAGTCCAGACATACTCGTCCTCATTGATATAAAAGTCTTCTGAGCCTGTGGCTAGATAATCTTTGTTCATAAATAATTTTATATCGGTTTTAATAATATATATAACAGTTTTAATATATTATACAGATACACGACGTTTATAGGAAGAGTCACGCTTCGAACATGGACACTAAGAATGGGCCGTGAAAAAATAGGAAATCCATGTCTATCAACCGTCAATTGATATCAACAAAAGAACTCTACATGCTTCTTCGTATCTTTTCTAGCTTTAAATCTCAACTTTTAACCCAAGATTATCTATCTGTATAAATTCATCGTAGAAAAAGATATCCAGATCAATTCAATCATTAGACAAACATGTAGGTACAAAAGACGCCAGCATGGTAGGGCAGCAATCAATTTCAATTTATGATGTTTTTTNACCGTCAATTGATATCAACAAAAGAACTCTACATGCTTCTTCGTATCTTTTCTAGCTTTAAATCTCAACTTTTAACCCAAGATTATCTATCTGTATAAATTCATCGTAGAAAAAGATATCCAGATCAATTCAATCATTAGACAAACATGTAGGTACAAAAGACGCCAGCATGGTAGGGCAGCAATCAATTTCAATTTATGATGTTTTTTTACTCCGGTAACCGTTTACCATAAAGTGAACAGTCAGCCAGCGTTTGTGGGCTCCAAAATAAATATAGAACTTGCCACTTCATCACATTTCTTCAAAGCCTAGAGCAAGCGATGTAAGAGGAGCTAGCTGTATTTGCGTACGCATGAAATCACGGACACACGCTTGTGTAAATTATATTTGTATAATATGTAATACTAATTAAATTATCGACATTTTAAACTATATCTATATTTTGCACTATTTAAAGTGCATACATTATGTACATAAACTATTGCTTTGGATAGCTATTACATAATAGCTTACTTTTACAATTATACAGTCTGATTTTAATAATAATAATACTAATTGTAAATCCTATAATTTTTACTTGATAGAAACCAAATAAACTTAAACTAATTATTTCATTCACTCAATTACTTTACCTAATTAATTCAATGAATTTCACTTAATTATTCAAGTTTACATTAATTACCATCAGTATATTATTACTGTTGCCTCGTAATTAATTATATTACAATTGTTTATGTTATTGTAAAAAAACTTTATATTTATAACAATATAATGTGATCTACTTATATTTAGGTTATTTTTCTTTCGCGTGAGTTTTTCATTAATGAAGCTTTAAAAAAATCGTGCACAAAAATGTTTTTAAATGTTAAATTTTGTATATTTTGGATTAACATTATCAAGCAATAAAGGGAAACAATTTTTAAAAAGATTTTTAACTATGTATATAGTTAGTATCAATGGAAACATCATCAGATCTATCGAATAAAATTCGAAATTAAAATCCTTAACTATTTCAAACGAATTCGGCTACGTAACAAACCCACATTTTTTTCAATTTTCAAGGTAACGGTACAATGTCAGTGTGCGTAAGACGCAACATTAAACCATATATATATATATGTATATACCATTGTTTTATCAAAGTAATGCTGCACCCACCCTAGACATACTATTCTTGGACGTAACGTAATAAAGGAAGAAGCTGATTTGCATTTTTATTAACGTGGAAGGTGAACGTGGCTAGTGAAATCATCTTTCATTTGAACCCAATGCTATTACTGGTATAGGTTCGAATATCCGTGGTTATTATTCACTGACCCAACACAGGATGTCATTAGTTTAGATGTATTTATAGATTCTCTTACCCAGTATTGATCTTTTGAGTCAATGGTCAATGAAAATAATTTTACAGTAAGGAGAACGCACCGTTACGTTCTAAAAAATATTTAAAAAAAAACTTAGATAATTTATTTATAGAAATTGTATTTTAAAAACAGTGGGAATTACATGATAGTAGGTACCGCAAAATAAAAACATGTCGAAACTGATAACCTCCGCTTTTATATATTTTAAATCTCTTAAAAAATAACATATAAATGTGTTATAAATATATTTTCGTGTCATATTCGTGAATCGACTATTTCTGCCGTGAAGCAGTAAGCGTTTCTGTTCGAAGGGTGGGGTAGCCGTTGTAAACTATACTTGAGACCTTAGAACTTATATCTCAAGATGGGTGGCGCATTTACGTTGTGGATGTCTATGGGCTCCAGTAACCACTTAACGCCAGGAGGGCTGTGAGATCGTACACCCATGTAAGCAATAAAAAAAAATCGACATTCAAACAAGAATGATTGGTTTTAATGTTATCAATGTCCCTGCCTTTTTGGTTTAGTTAATTTTACAATTCGCCTTCGATTACTTTCAACAATAAGTGGGAAAATATTAAATGCAATTAATTCGTTTTATTATTTGTTTTTCATCGACATTTTCTTATTGATACCCAAATAAGTGCAGAGCTTACGGGGTATTATGTAGACACTAATGCACTTCAAAACATGAATACTGCCTCGCCCTACTTGAGTTATTGAAGAATTTATTTAAAAGAAATAAAACATTAATATTTTAACAGTGAACGAGAACTCTTCTTAGATATAAGTAAATAAAATAAAATATTCATAATATTTATACGTATGATAATAATGTTTTTCAAGTATACTGGAAATAATATAATTCATTTTGATCGTACTTGATGAAGCAAAAACAGAATGTGCGGATAATATAAACATTCCAAGTCCATCATTGGAAAACATCGTGAATTCAATTAATTATGTAAAGAAGTTCACAGTTAATAAGATGACATTTGAACTTAACTGCCACGAGACACGAGTACCTCTGTAGGTACCTATCCATATGAGATACGATAAGATTGGATAGTAAGCGGATATGATTACGTAGCATACTTAATCAATATTACCATTTCACATTCAAGTCTATAAATATGCATTTCACTTTCAATATTACAATTGCATTTAGGAAATGAAACGTCCTTTGAGGGATTCATATCTTATATCAGTCGGGTGGGGTCGGTATCAGGTTACAGCTTCACCCTTCAATATAAAAGCCTAAAGCCGTCTCGTGTTACTCACATTCAAGTATCAAATATCAAACCTAACTTTTGCGCTTAGATATTTTATTACTCTTATTACTACTAGTAACTTTTAGTTGCACAAAGTTATTATTGACTGAATACGCATTGTTTACTATTGCAGATTAATTAGATAACTCTGTTAATTACTTGGTGTTTCAGGGTGACAAAATGTTGGTGAGCAACGCCATCCAGCTTACAGTATTCATGGTAGCTGTTTTATGGAAAAACGAAGCCGAAGCGGCGACAAAAGCATCTGTCAAGTTCTGTGGTCGCCACCTGAGTGAGATCATGAGCAGAGTCTGTCACGCATACAACGGTCCTTCATGGGACGTTCCTACAGGTATTTAATTAAATACTACACAGTTTATAGCAAATCAGACGTTGGCACGTAATACTTCCTTCATGAATTTGTGTAATAATCTGTCAAAGACGTCCAAAGTCCAAAGTAATGTGTCCATATGACTATTCTCATTTATAAGATATAGCATTGAATAATAATAAAAAGGTCATTTATATCTGATTACAAAATAATTATTGTAAACAACTTCAATCACGTTTAAATTATAATCCAAAACCCAAATAATAACAGTACGTTTTATATGTAAAGATAGCTGATGTGTATAAATTGTTCCCACACGATAGTATTTCTAAATTTAACATTGTATGATGACTTGTCAGGCCAAATTCTAGCCCTTATCTCAATTTTATCGGACGGAATTATTACGGACGTTGGCATAAAACTGCGTAATAAAGTAGATTAGCCAATGTGAAAAGTATGAAATTATTTAGATGCTTGCCTTCTGTAGGGCTTTTTCTATGTATTTTTACTCCTAACTCTCTTAGGCTATACGAATGCGAATGACTCTTTGTTGCCTGCCTATATTTCTACTTCTAATTCGTGGTAGCCGTTCCACTTAATACCAGAGTATTGTATACGATCAGAATCGTATACAGGTGCTGTCCTTTATCAGGGATAATCAGAAGAGACAGCACGTAGTCAACATTACCACCGCATGCATACCAATCAAAACGAATATTTTACGAATTATGAAATCAATCAAATATGTCGTTTACTATAGGTAGATAACGAATAGCCAATATCAAAATCTTGAAGACGACATTTATTTAGTACTAGCTGACCCGGCAAACTTCGTAGTACCTCAATCTATAAATAAAAGACCTAAACTTTTGTATAAAATAAAACTTAAAACAAACAAAAGGAATCCTTCCGACGGGGGACACATCAAAGGGAAAACCAAATTATTATTTTTATTTAATTCCGAGCAGACGTTCTCGAGTTTTAACGAGACTAACGAACAGCAATTCATTTTTATACATATGGATAGATAGATAATTTAAATAAAAAGTTTTATTTTATTTATTACTTTGTAACGAAGCAAAAATAACACCGGCCGACATCATTTTCCTTGTTCAAGTTCTGATTACTTTTTTCCACTAATTTGGTAGTGCTCATCACGAAATTATACCTCATTTTATCGTATCACATCAGGTTTTGTACTATTATTGATCGAAGTATTTACAAAATTTCCATGCTTCTTGTGTGAGTGGGACAGTAGAGCACGAGACTAGCACTACGTACAAAAACAATGGAATCCTCGTAAAAATCTCAAAGTAGGAACAAAAAACGTTATATGAAAAATTTTTATTAGTCCTGAAAAAATTTTACTACCTCCGCTTCATATCAGACTCGGTATGATAAAACAGTTCGTTAAAGTATTGGATAAAACAATGCTAGTTTTGAATACCTGTGTGAAAAACTTCCAAGATTATCTGATGCAAAAATTTAAGACGGAGTGTTCGATGGACCGCAAATCAGATCTTTGATGGCTGATGAAAAATTTGATGCCAATGAATGAATGAATAACACTGAATCAGATGCTTGGCTGGCGTTCAAAGATGTTGTCAACAATAATAAACATCCCGACTATAAAAATAAGGTTGCAAGCTTAATGGATAAGTAACAAAAATTGGGGTGTAATATGCGCATAAAACTCCACTTTCTAGATTCACATGTGGACTTTTTTCCTGATAATCTTGGTGATTACAGTGAAGAGCAGGGAGAAAGGTTTCATCAGGACATAAAAACTATGGAGACAAGGTACCAAGGTCGATGGAATGTGAATATGATGGCTGATTACTGCTGTTCACTGACACGTGATATTACTGAAGATACTCACAAAAAAACTACACCCAGACGTAATTTTGTCGCGAAACGTAAAAGATGTCACTCTAAATAGTACTGTAGCATGGTTTAGACTCAATGTTTTCTTTGTAAATGTTCCAATATATGTTTTTGTAATATGATTACAGATTTTTTCTTGAAATTTTGAAAAAAATGCTTTCTCCTTCTTTAAAAAAAATCTGATGTGATAGGGCAAATATGTAGGTGTTTTTGTGTTTAAAATAGTATAAATTGGTGATATTTGTGGCTCAAATACAAACAACTTTCAAAAAATTTTCATTTGTCGGCTGGTGTAAGTGTTGGTGCATTGAAACAAATAATATAATATTTTCTTCGGTTCTCACGATTCGTAAACATAATTAAAACTACTTTTACAGTTTAATCTCGTAATATTTATTTATACTATACTATGTCCGACGTTTCCAACACTTTGCAGTTTTCGTGGTCACTGTAGTTTTTACAAGATACTTTATTTTTGTTAAATAGTTGAACAACCCGGTGGGTTGCTTCGACGAAAACGGCAACTTGGCATCGCCGACGAGTGCTGCTTAATGGGCTGCACTTGGGAACAATTAAGCGAATATTGTTCTATTATTGCATAGTAAGTATTGCACTACATCTTTGACAATTTTTTATGGATGTACCTTTTAGTCACTAAACAAAATCCTTTGACTTGACTAAGTGATATATTTTTAGTAACTAAGTCTCTACAACTATATAATCCAGACATCTTAAATGAGTAAACTCAATCTCTACTCTTGTTTTTTTGTTGCACTAAAAATACATATAGCAGCTGATAAGAAGGAAAAGTAGTAAAAAGCACGTAGACGCTAATGCATATATGTTATGATAGACGTCGTAGCCTATATGATAAGACGACTTGGACTTCCACGATGAAAGAATAACATCATGTTACAAAAGTAAAACCTGCAAAAATCCTAAATATGCGTATTTTATCGGGGGTAGGGCGGTTTTTTTACCGCCGCGGGCACGTAACGCACTCCCGACTATTTCTGCCGCACAGCCGTCATGCGTTTGAGCTTGAAGGGCATCATTGTTGCCGCTACACAATTCAATTGAGTTTTCAACCTCATATCCAACGGTGGATAACGCAAAGTGTTGTGAGTCCAATAACCACTACTAGACTGGACGAGAACGCGCATATTCATGTAGTGCAATAAAAAGTAGGTACATGCAAAGGTAACGCTTGTCCCTTGTAGAAGACATTCGGACTTCATACCGATCACAACAGAAGTGCTAGGTACTATATTTTGCGCCATTGTAAAACAAATAATGGTCAAGCAAAATAAGATAAAAGATGCAAATTAAATTCTCAAACTGATGTTTAAACATGCCGTGCCAGTTGCCCCGTGCTGTTAATAAGTCCCTAAACACCAGAACCTAAGCACGGCAGTCCATTCTGATACATAATGATGTCTCATCCGATATAATTCACAGATGCTTCCCAATAGAAACTTTCAGGACTAAGATATCTACCGGGATCGATTCAGAAAATGTGAATCGAACCAGTACATAGCGTACTGAATTATTTTTATAATTTCTTTAAGAGTTTACTCTCTTTACAGTTCAGAATCGCCATTAGAAGATTTAGAATCTCACGTAATCGCAGATCGTTCGGCGGAACAGGAGAACCTAGCGGCTGGTGCTAAAACGACGACTACAACGACGACACCGGCTGTGGTAGGCAGTGATGAGCACGTGCACGTTCGAGGCGAAACGGGACTCGCATCGAGTCACGGGTACGGGCGGGCCAGAGGACGCCGCTGTTGGTGCCGGCGCAAGAGGCGCTCGGGCCGACGGCGAGCCTCCCTCGTGGGTAACATGGTGTGTCTGTCTATCGATAACATGATCTTTTTATACTTCATTGGCTTCATTCGAAATTTGTTGAATGATTATTTTATTTGAAATTTATTCGAGATGACTTCGCGGTAGTGTGGTTTTATAGAGTGTCAGTGCTGTTTGTTGCGTGTCAGTAGTGTTTAGTTTCAGCAGTAAAGATTCAAATTTAGAATTCAAATATATTATTAATTTATTGTCCACAAAAATTACAATTACCAAAAGACATATTTAAAATAACGCATTTTAAATTACTGAATATTGGACATATTTAAAATAATGAAATATTTTAAATGTATGAATAATTTTGAAATAATTTCCATCCAAATTACCGAATTTCGTTTTAGATCTAAAGTATTAAGAGAACATGTTACGATGACAACATAACTAATTCATAACTAACGCTTTTTGCATGGATATTTTTTTTCTAATCTGATAATAACAACATAATTGCTGTGAACATCACATATCAAGCTATAGTTAAAACTATACGTTAGACAACTATAATGTTAGATTTTTTATTTATTTTTGGTGCATAGCCTCTAGCTAGCTAACTAGCTCATGGCTCATCAGCTGTTGTTGTGTACCGGAGCCCATAAAAACTAAAATTTGAATGTAAAATGGTTAGAGTTAAAATTAAACAAAATATAAGAAGGTAAGTGGAAACTGACGTTGACGGCTTACCGCATGAAATTTAACACAAACTAAGTTCAGGTGTAATCTAACCAAGTAGAAATATTATATAAATGTACTTACGTAAATGTACTACTGCATCCATTTGGGTTTTATGCGATTGCATGTTTTACTACTATTCATTAAAACAAGCATGGAATAATATTCACACAAGATTAACACATTTTTATAATCTTGCTACAGGAGACAAGCACACGATTTAATATACCTAACCGTAGTGTAGGTAGGCAACATTTTAAGAACTGTGTCCTTGTCAATGACCATGAGTGACGGTAACCGCTTGCCATCAGGTGGATCATAAGCTCATTTCTTTTCGATGACAGTAAAAGAACACCATATTGTTTACAGTGCCAAATTTTTTCTAATAAGCTACCAATCGCGACTCGTAAACAAACCGTTACTGGTGGTAGGACATCTTGTGAGTCCGCACGGGTGGGTACCACCACCCTGCCTATTTCTGCCATGAAGCAGTAATGCGTTTCGGTTTGAAGGGTGGGGCAGCCGTTGTATGAAACTATACTGAGACCTTAGAACTTATATCTCAAAGTGGGTGGCGCATTTACGTTGTAGATGTCTATGGGCTCCAGTAACCACTTAACATCAGGTGGGCTGTGAGCTTGTCCACCCATCTAAGCAATAAAAAAAAACCTCGCGACTTAAACATGCTATAAATGATTTCGAATAAACTTGGACCAATTTGGACCTCATGAACTGATTCACTCGAGACTAGGATGGAACTAAGGCGGTTGAAACAAAAAAATAATTATAAGTATGAAATTGTTACAGGCGATCATAAAAAATGCAGTTCGCGCCGCTCCCGTCGTGGGCACCGTGTCACCTCTGATTACATGGGGCAGAACCCTCAACACGGACCTACCGCGACCGGACAATGACAGATACGCTTACGTCGTCTACACGTAAATATTGAACCTTGCTTTCGCATGCAAGATATGTTATCTAATAAAAGCTGGATTATTCGACCTATAATTCAACTTTTCCTATAATAGTAATAATATTTCTACATAATATTATTTAACCTACACATTATGTTACATTACAGATATTAAAACGTTTTATGCGTAGGTATAATAACTGAAAGTGTTCAATCAAAATACCTGATTAGTAGGTAAATCTTAAATTCATAAAATTATTATATTCAGCCTTGAAAGACTATACTATAAAGTAAAATTAAAAGTGTGGATATAGTAGCATGGTATGAACTTAAATAATCTGTCATGAAATCATTGTTAGTAAATCAATTTATTGTAAACGTAATATACTAAGTACTACGTTTACAATCCAAGTAATAGGTACAAATTTACTAGGTGTCTATTTTATTTATAACGAAATATTCATTCTCACAATTCACTTTAATTTATTGCATATCCCCATTTTAGTCTAAAAATTATTCACAATAACTCGAGATGAAAGGATTATATTGAATTGTTTAAAAGTGAATAAACTAGTAAAGCGTTTAAAAATGTAGTTTGTAGTAGGTAATTATACTTCATATATATATAGAACTTAGCTTAAAGGACACATTATAAAAGACTATGTAATAAAAGTAGATTTCTACAAACATTTTTTACATCCCCAAATTAATAATTGGACACAAAGTATAGGACGACACTATTCATCATTTCACATAAAGGCTGTCGAAAACATTTATTTATATTTCTACCATTTAAGAATTGAAGATCTCTAAAATATCTGTGATAAACCACACTCGAGAATCATTATTTTGTATTGTAGTTTTATCTGCGTACCAGTGTTTTTTGTCTATTTTCTTTATGAGTGTCTGTGTAACCTTAGATTATTTATAATGAATGTAATTTTATGACCATGTATGGATACTATAATAAAATTTTAGGACAATGAAATGAAAGTTTAATTTCGTACCCTAGTACCTACATAGATAAGTCTAGCTAGTACATATTATTATTGTTATAAAGATATATTTTTTACAATAATTTTTTTGCAAAAAAAACTAACTTTTTTTACCTATGAAGTTGCCGTTTAGTAATCAGAAAGTTTTTATAGATATTTTTTAATTTATATCAATTCATTTCTGCATATAGCAGTATTTCAACGCCCTTCTTAAAGAAGTCAGGTAAACGGGAGCCAAAAAAACTCTTCAAAAGCATTTTGTACTACATCTTGGGTATTTTATCCCTGGTAAGAAATTGTTTAAACTTTTGAATAGTAGAAGACTGGCGACACAAGGTCTCATGGATAAGATGGATGACGCAAAACTTCCAACCTTAGCTCATATAGCTTAGAGATCGTCTGCTGTCCGTATGGAAGCATCCAGAAATGGATCAATATCATTATTGATGCTAACATTGAAAGCCGCTGCTAACTCAACGGGAGATTGAGTATTGTCAGCTTCTACTATCGCCTTTAATTCGTTATTGTTGAATTTAGTTTTCGGGCGATCACGAGGTTTACTTTTTATATGAAAATTTCCATGTTTTTTTTTCCCCTACCTAAACTAGTAACGGGAATTATGCCAACATATTTCCATGTCGGAAGCGTTCAAAGTAGTAGAGTCGTGCGTTCATTTATAGTGTTCACTCCGCACACGTCATTAACGTTGTGAGCCGTAACGGCCTTGCTACCGCAACGAAACTTGTATTCCCTACTTACTCGCATTTTTATCGTGTCCATATTAATATCGTAAATAGTATCTTAAGGTCTGGCAGTTTGTTTGACTTGAGTTTTATTTTCACTGTAAGACGATCCTAAATATTAGACAAGTGCCATCCATCTTCTCTATTACAATTAGGTCGTCTTTATTATTATTTCAAAAACATTTTTTTACAGTTTGAAATTCTAGCACAGCATTGAACAACGACTAATTATCATCAGAATACAACCCACAGACACAGCCCATTGAGTTTCTCGTCGGATTTTCTCAGTGGGTCGCATTTCCGATCCGGTGGTAGATTCTGCGAAGCACTACTCTTGCTAGGATCAGTGTTAGCAACTTCACCAGGTTTGAGCCCCGTGAGCTCACCTACTCGCTCGGTTACGCTGTCATAGCCTCTCATGGCTAACAGCTTAGGTAGGAAAGAAAAAAAAATCAGAATACATAATTCAAGTGATTAAAGTTAAATAATAATATAGTGTAATAATGTGCTCTCATTCGCCTCGGGTTCGTTTTATTTCAGAATATAGGGGCAAGAATCAAAAAAACACAATGTTAAAAATTTGAAACGTTTTTTGTAAACTCAACAAATAATCCACTTACAAATTTTGAACTCATAAATGAATCATAATTTATTAGAAACAGTTTAAATTGAATTTTAGAATTCCATTTTTAAGGAACTAAGCTGATATGAACATTTATATTATATTGTGTAAAATGCCTCATCCAAATAAATATTTAAAATACTTAATATAAATGACTATTTAATTTTATAGATTAATGTATTTTTATTTATTTTATCAAGTAAAAATACAAATACTCTTTCAGGTGTTCATTTCCTTGTCATTCCAATTTTCACATTTGTATTCCGACAAGGTACCAGTTTCTTCAGACTTATTTGCAGTAACTTCAGTGACAAACTCATTTTTCTGCTTTTTTAAGTATTCCTTAAGTAAAAAATACTTTGCTATTATTATAAATAATATCAACATCGCTAGTCATAGCGGACCTTTGTCATTTCCATCTTCTGAATTATCTGACTGAGATGCTTCCATGTTACTATTGTTCAATGGAAGCAATTGAAACTTTAAACTATTACCTTTATTTCTCTTTTGTAGTAATCTTGCTGTTGATTTGGTGTTTTTCTCTATTACTGAGTATATATTTTCCTGAAAAATAATTGTTAAATATGTATTAGGGAATAGTCTCGAATATTAACTATATACTACCGAAGTCAAAATCATACAACTATTCAAATACTATTCTAAAGATTTCTGCATATTACGGAAGTCGGAAAACATAGTCTCTAGAAAAAAAATGTGGAAGAAAAAAGATCTCGTGGCCACTGCCCATTGCGTTCGTCTGATCAGATCCGCACTACACTGGAGTCTATGATACTCTCAGAGTAGCTGAAGATAGAATGAGATGACAACATCGTGAATGGTGGTGGTTACGACCTCCATACACGAGGAGCACAACTGGAGGAAGAAGAGAATAAATTTAACCAGATCGCAAATACAAAATATCTTAAACAAAATTACTGACTGACTGGGAACTCCGAGTCTGTGGTGCACTAGTCAGGTTCATCAATGACCATAATGAAGGGTGAAAGGCTTTGGTTTAAGTGACATTTCACTTAATACGCGACATTTATCTTTATAATTAAAATTGTGTTATATTTGGTATTAGCATCAACTATTCGATGTTCTTAATTGAATTTCAATCAAATTTACTCAATTCAAATAGCTGAAAAGGTTTTTTTTGTTATGATATTTTTCCCAAATTTAAACTATTAAATGGCCCGGCCCTCCTGTAAAACCGCAAAAAGGTCGCTTAAACCAAATAGCATTTCACCCCTCGATATATACAGCTTTATTGTTTAAGAACATATTTTGCTGCAGCAAATATGAATTTAAGGCGCTCCCAATCAATAATATTCTGTACATCCTTACAAGCTTCAGTATTTGTTTTATATATCAGGGCTCAACAATTTTATATTTCGCTCAAATAGCCCGTTTTTTATTTATTTTTTCCTACCTATGCTGTAGCCTTGAGAGGCTATATCAACGCCACCCTTTTTTTTTTTTTTTGGTCAGGAGGAAATCGCCGGACTTCCGCCCTCCCCTGGGGATGAAGGGCGGGGCATGTCGGAGTCGAACTGACTAAAACCTCCTGTCGCTCAACAACCCGCGTCCGAACCTCGCATGAGACAGAACCCATGAAAAGGCAAAGGGGGGAAAGTGAAGCGTTTAGTGCGGAGCACATCTCTCCCATCACCCTCCCCCTCGGGACGCCGGACTGGCGGTCGTCGGCGCCACGACCACCAGCCCTCTCGGTCGGCAGGCTATCCGGAGCCCGCCTAGATGGCGCCGGTTAGAATGGGTTATCCTACGGAATACCCCGCTGGGTCAGAACCAGCGTGGGTCGAGGATAGCCGGCCTTCCATCACCCGGATGCTCTTGCGTAAAACGCGTGCAGAGCAGCTTGCACGTCGTCTTCTTAGGCCCCCTTCGCCGGTCCCCAGACCGACATGTGAAGGGGACCCGAAACCCTTAGAGGGCCAGGGCTTGGGCGAGATCCGCCTCCCTGGCCCCCGCCCGACGGCGGCGGGCTTGCGCGTCTCTCACGCGCCCCGCCGCCTCCTTCTGCGAGATGGTGCACTCGCAGAAGTCGAGCATCGCCTTCCACGACTCGTCGTCGCCGAGCATCGATGCCACAACACTCGGCAACGACAAGTCGTTTCCTATTTTTGCGACGAGGACACGGCGCCACCCCTCCCATGCGGGGCAGGCGACGAGCGTATGCTCTGCCGTGTCCAAGTCGCAACCACAATGGTGGCACTCTGCCGTCGGCTCGGCTGTAATCCGGTGCAGGAACTCACCGAAGCAACCATGCCCAGTGAGCACCTGCGTGAGCCGGAAAGTGAGGCGTCCTCTGTCACGATTCACCCAATCCACAAGGACCGGGCGAATCGCCTCGACGGTCCTACGACCAGCCGAAGGATCAGCCAGCCGTCTGGACCATGACTCCAGCATCAACGCCACCCTAGCGTATAAGTTAGCTCTCGGGACTCAAACCGGAGGCGTTGCTAACACTGGCTCTAGCAAGAGCAGTGCTTCGCAGAACCTACTGCCAGATCGGAAACGCGACCCACTGAGAAGATCCGGCGAGGACGGTGACCGGTGCTTGAGGTACCTAAAAGCACCGTTAATGGATCGGGAGGACCCGTAATGACGTGTGTTTTTTACTGTGCAGTAGTTTAACTATAAGGCGGCAGGACTGGTCAAAATGACACGGGCCTACGAACTTGAAGTAAGGTAAATTTTTACATTTGTATAAATTCAAAATTTTATATATATTGAGAGCCCATCTAATGATCGTACCACCAACCTTAGATGGTACAGTTCGCCACTGATGGGAAGTTTTTTATTAGTCTAGACGAGTAGTTTATGTTAGACCAAACGCCACATACATTGCAACAAAATTATTTTGTAACATGATCCATGAGATCAAAGTATCGATCCCGCTCTTAAATCTACTAAATCAAGTTTTGTTTTGTAAAGTGAATCTTATTCTTATCTTTTATATCATTGTTTGATACCACCAATATGGATTTACGTTAGCAAAAATCTTATCTAAAATATAATTTCGAAGATAATTATTAATATATTTATATGGTACCTCATAGTTCACTGTTCTGACCTAGCTTATTAAAATTTAATACGAAAAGTAGTCTACGTACAAGTGACAATAATCATCATCAGCCTGTATCTTTCCACTGCTGGATGTAAGCCCTTCCCATAGTCCGCCACAATAAACAGTTCTACCCCTTCCGCATCAAGTCTCTTCCTGCATATCGCCCCAAGTCATCGTTCCATCGGGTAGGGGTACGCCCAACGCTGTGTTTACAGGTACGTGGTCTCCAGTACAAAACGTGCCTGCTCCGTCGGCCCAGCGCTACTTAAGCTTGCTACTCTTTAGGGCTATGTGGGTTATTTTGGCTCTTCGATGGAATTTTTCATTTCTAATTCCATCCATCAAAGAAATTCCGAGCATACCCCATTTCATACCACGCTGAGTGACTTTGAACCTCCGGACTAGACCTACGATCAATATCAGCGCCATATGTCATGACCGGTAGCACGCAAGTGTTGAAGACCTTTGTCTTTAAGCATTGCAGGAATTCTGAGACAAAGATATGGCAAAGTTTCACATACGCAACCCATTCGAATTGTATCCGCCTATGAGCTTGCCTCTCGAAGTTGGTCCTGCCTAACTGAACAATTTGGCCCAGTGTAGTTTGACACAACTTCGAGTGCCGCAGATTCGATTTGCTCATGGAAGTTTCTAGAGCCAACACCATGGGGTCGTAATACAGGTTCTCCGCAATCTTGTACTACCGCTTTCGCGTTGAAATCCCCGTCACTGCGATATAATGAGTCTCGGAGGTTCTCTTGGTGCGTTCAATGGTTATTACGATATCGTCTTAAAACACCCTGCAAACTTCATCAGAGTATGTCGATGAAGGAGCGTATGTATTAGAGTTTTACTACAAGATACGCAAACTGCGTCACTGACTTCCGTAATGCATGTAGTTGACAAAGACTGTGAACCAGCTAATATTCTGAGATCTTTCTTGATAGAAAATAATGTTTCCTGAGGTTTTCTCCTCCTCTTCCTCTATGCCATTAATATGCCATTTTATTGTGCTCTATATGCTGTCTTTAGCCCTTTGAAATGTTCAGCTTTTAGCAATGTCCGGGTATTACACACACAGGGGTACCGCCGTTTATGTCAACCAGATATCACTGCGGTATTTTTAGCACCCTCTGGCCCTCCGTGACCTTTTCGGCTGACCATGAATAGCGGGACTGTGAGCCTTTAATTTTCTGCTTTGTTCATTGGCATATGGAATGGTTCACCACGCTTGACCGGCGTGTTGGTGACTGCAGTTCTGTGTCCCATCACTAGGGCCTACTGCTGCCCGTGTCCTGATATGTTATTTTATATACGATTTATTATCAGTGATTATACCGCCATCTGTCAGTCGCTAGAGCCTCTCTGTCTGTTAGCTAGCAGGGTGCATTTCATTGCTAGCCCTTTTACACCACCCCCGTAACATAATAATTAATAAAAAAAAATACTACTGTTTTCTAACAGATCATAGATATTTGTGAGTAGGATAATACATTAATCAGGTAGTTTCATATGTGAAGCGAACTTGTAAGTAATAACTATATTAAAAATTAAAACTACTTTTTGAGTTTATTCTCATGTTTATTAATGTCGTTGATTTATTTCCAATGTTATTGTTTCCAGTTTTCAGTCACAGGAGACTAGCCTCACAACACCTTGAGCATAACAAAGACAAGATTAAACTGTAAAAGTAGTTATGTCTAGGACTTAAGTAAATGTCAAACTATTTAACTGTGTTACTTCATTATGTACGCACCAATACTTGTGAGGATTGTCCTCCTTCACCTGCTAAAACTACTTTAACTTCATACTGTTTCTCTACTAATTTTCCCATTTTTCTCACACTGGTCATTAGATCGTGTTCAGATATTTTTGATGACAAAATCATCAATTTCTGGCCTTTAACTGAACTGTTCTGCCGAGCGAGTTTTTTTTCTTTCCGTCTTTCAAGTTCTTCCTCGTGAAATTCTGCATTAGTCATCAGCCTAAAAATAAAAGGCAGCTAATTATAATTGTCCTCGTACTTACACAACGTAGTTGTGTAATTTAAAGTGCTTGGGACTAAAATTGTCTTTTCTTCAAAAATAAATCTTGAAATGCAATTGATGCAATTGATGCAACTGAAATTTTAGCCAAGGTGGGTGAGCAGCTTTCGGAATGTAGTGTCTCTAACATCTAATTATAAAGTGATTTGGGGCCTCTTCTGCTTGGTCTTGGTAATTATAGGTTAATTAAGCAATTATATCAACCATTAATGACCTTCATTTGACCCAGAAGAAAATCAACAGTCACTTCTGGAGCCTAAATATCTACATTTCTTTCTTTCAGCCCAGAGACATCCACAGCTGGACATTAGCCTCCCCCAAGCCTCACCACAAATGAATAAATATGAATATGAATTCCCAAGCATCATGGAAACAGTCATCAACTCATAGTCAACAATAGAAAGTTCCACCAATCACATGATAGGGTGTACTTGCTTAGCACTGTTTTTTATGGATACATCACTATATAAGACAGGTGCAAAAATTCTATTGTACAGTACATTGTACGTTGTCGTAACTATAATTTAAAAAAAATTGATACAGTCAGATTTTATCTAAAAATCACGATTTTCATACTTACTTGTAAATTGGCCGTCTAGTTTTTACATCTACATCTTGAACTTTTACAAGTTTTAATTCACGTTTTACCGATAGATTTTGGGCATTTTTTAAATCTATTATACTAACTGAATTGTCTGTACCAATTAAGGTAATTCTGTTTTCGAAGTTTTTTCTTTTAGGTACATTTTTTCCTTCTGCGTTTATAATTGTGGTAACCGGTCGATATTCTAATATTTTTTTTAAATTAAATAGCACTGCGTATTTATTCATAGCGCCACAAAATCAACACGTTATTGAATAAAATAGGTATATATTTTATATTATTCTCGATGTATGTACATCTATTATTATGTAGTAGGTAATTGTTTAACTCTTATCAATATTATCAATTTAAAAAACACAATCTGTTAAAATTAAAAACTGCACCCCAATGTTTCGTAAGTTTCACTGATTTCTAGATTCTCTTTGGGGTAAGTCAAAATAAAAAGCAAATTTAATAATGTAAATATTTTTTGACATAATTGAAGATAAAGGCAGACATTTAAACGTCATTTGACATTTGACACATGGAAAAGGATATTGCACAGACCTTAGGTTTCATACTTCAAGTCGTCGTGGCCTAAAGGATAAGACGTTCGGTGCATTCGTATGTAGCGATGCACCGATGTTCGAATCCCGCCTGCGGGTACCAATTTTTCTAATGAAATACGTACTTAACAAATGTTCACGATTGACTTCCACGGTGAAGGAATAACACCGTGTAATACAAATCAAACCCGCAAAATTATAATCTTGTGAGTCCGCACGAGTAGGTACCACCTCCCTGCCTATTTCAGCCGTGAAGCAGTAATGCGTTTCGGTTTGAAGGGTGGGGCAGCCGTTGTGACTATACTGAGACCTTAGAACTTTTATCTCAAGGTGCGTGGCGCATTTACGTTGTAAGTGTCTATGGGCTCCAGTAACCACTTAACATCAGGTGGGCTCTGAGCTCGTCCTTTCATCTAAGCAATAAAAAAAAACTTCAGTGGTATATTGATACCGTCGCTTTTTGGCGGGAACACAAGGTGTGATGTTGTGCGATTTGTTTTATTTTGTCTGTTTAGTGTTTGTTCAGGTTTAAAAGTGTAATAACGGTGGTTTATTAACTGCTTAGTATCTTTGAAAGTCTTGAAAGTGCACAAATGTGGAAAAATGAAACAAAGCCGCTGGACGTAACTTCTCGGGATCCTCCAAAAAGTCCATTGAAAAAATCTTAATAAGCGATCACCATTTTACTGAGATTATATTTCATCCCATATTGTCTCATCTCATTTTATTTAATTTCATCCCAGTTAATTAATTTCTCAAATTAATCATTTTCATTTCTGTTGGACGGTTAAATTTGAGGGGATTGGGTTCTGTAGGTGATGAGGGGCTATTTAAAAACACAACTGCTTCATTATAATTATATTGCAGATTGCTCGAACACTTTTACACCATTATACAATTATTATTTTTATATTTTTTATAAAACTATTTCATGTTTCTCTTGCCGTGTCTAGATGAGAAGTACTGACATTTTCTTACGAGAATACAATGATCTGTTTTTTTAAACATTTAAAATAATTCTAATATTCGAAATCTAATCAAGTGTCAAGTGTTGCCTGCCATTACATTTAATATACAAACTCCAACAATTTCATTTCATTTCACTCCATATTATCATTTTTTATAAAATAAATTAAATATAAATTAAAATAAGACATGACTTAAAGGTCTTAGCTACCAGGTCATAAAATCCCTTAAAAAAAATTAAAGCAACACTGGCAACATTCTTTCACTTTGTTTTGACAACTTGATTGTTCAAAATGGTTAGTATTGGGATTGGGAATATTTATAAAAATCTTTGTAATCTAATTACAAATGTGGAATATATTTATCTTAATTTCATAATTGATGTTTCAGTCGGCCCATAAGACGTTTATTATTAAGCGCAAATTGGCCAAAAAGCTGAAACAAAACAGACCCATTCCTCAGTGGGTAAGGATGCGCACAGGAAACACTATTCGGTAAGTAATTATTCAGTTCTTACAACAGCACCAATTAATTACCTATCCAAAGTGCAGAACATCTTATTTATCTTTCACTGTCTTAGTATCATTATTTAATAATTTTAACATTAATTGTTTGGAGGTTAAGTATGCTGGTAAATATAAAACCAGGTGTTTAGATCTGCCGCACAGATAGAAAATTTTCCATTTTATTGTGTAGAAGTATGTAGTACTAGACTCTTGCTTTTTAATTTATTAATTTAATTCGTATTTCGTGTTTTCGGTTTAGTTCTTTATCTATCTATCTATCTCTTAGGTTTATGGCGTTTCCTTTTAGATTTCGCCAATGTCAAGTGTATTTAATACTCTGCTTTCTATAGCGGGCTTCGTGAACGAGCAAGGTTTAGTTTTTAGTTCTCTTGGTACAAATTGAGTAATATAAAGTCACTATTCTGACAAAACAAACAACCGGTCTGAAAAGTTGACTTGCGTGTTCTACTGCTATAAAATAGGTCTCGGCAGCAACATTAGGTACCTACCTACATCAAGAACTAAACCTGCAGTCTTAGAAAATGAGTTCACTAAGATTGGACTATATCCCAGTAGGTAAATATTTATGAGTGACACACATGATTGAACAAAGTGCTCAGTCTGGTGACTAGAAAACTCTTCATTAATAACTTTTTATTAATTTCATTAATAAGTACCTAGCTTTCTTATGTTAAATGTGTTGTAAAAAAGAGTAAAAACAATATAATGAAATCATTTTATTTTCCAAATCCATTTTCTTAAAGTTACAATTTCTTGACCAATCTGACAATTTAAGGTGCATTTAGGTTAGTAATTATGCTAGGAGGTCAATAAGCGAATATCCAGACACTGCTGCTTTTTTGGCGTAATTAAATGTATCTTGTGGTTGCTTATTTTGATCTGATATGGAAACTACTTTTTTACCTAAAATAGGGAATAGAAAAAATCCAAATACTAAAAAAACGATTCTGAATAATATGGTTGTTGCTGATATAAAACCTGAAGAATAGAAATAATAACCTTTCACCTGTTGAAGTGCTAAAATAATTAAAATGATAATTGATCCCTTTGGAATCCGGGTGGGTGCTCAACAGACGACAGACGAGGATATAAAGATACCTTAGTTCTTTCTGTGTTCAAAAAGCCTTAAATATCAAGAAGGGATCTTTATAGACAATTAACAATATTAACAATTGATATAATTATAGACAGCAGTTTCGGTTTGAAGGGTGGGGCAGCCGTTAACCTATACTGAGACCTTAAAACTTATATCTCAAGGTGGATGGAGCATTTACGTAGTAGATGTCTATGGGCACCAGTAACCACTTAACAACAGGTGGGCTGTGAGTTAGTCCAACCATCCAAGTAGTAAAAAAAAAATTGCACATTATTCCAATGACAAAGAATGTCCTTGGCAACCATGTCCACAAAAATTGGTATTTAAAATAACAATTAAAATATGAAATGTGAGAAAATAATATTAATATAGTGTAAACACTATATAACTACACTGAAGGGACTATACATTTTATGGCATCATAGGATGCTATCATTAAATGGAAAGAAGAAAAATCAGAATTATAAAAAAAAACTATATTTCAAACTATTGTAGTGTTAGTAATTATGTACATAAAAAACAATCTTATTTGAACACAGGTTGTTTTGCCTGACTTCTTACTGTCCCAGTAATTTTATTGTACTTTTTTACTTATTTTATTCATATCTTACGATATTGAGGCAACTGATAAACAAAATACTTTGCCAATACTTTAGCTGCTTCAAAAGTTTTAATGCTCATTGAAGGCTCAGGATCATCTGTCTCATCTTCTTCATCCAACAATTATTACTTAATTGTGGTTGTTATTGAGAGGGTGTAATGCTATATAGAGTGTATCATGGTATGGGAGACAAGCTAAACCCACCAAAGCCAAGGGAATTTGACACTTTAGGCCCTAAAGTTTAGAGAATTGGTCATTAAATCAAGTGACTTCACTTGGAGTTACTGTAGTAATTTTAGTTGTGTACAACTCACGATAACTGAAAAATACTAGTGACAAAGAAGGATTTATAATTCAATCATATTGACAATAAATTAGGCTTAAAATTTTCAGTACACATCCATTTCTATTTAAAAATAGTTCAATATTTTTGCTCCTCTGTTTGTCAAGGGAAACTCTTTAAATTTTTTTGTATAGAAGGTCAAAAGAGAAAACTGAAAACCAAAATTAATCTTAATGTTATAACTATGTTATAATGACTATGATAATAATGGTTTTAATTTGGATCATCTACCTAATATTAGTTTTAGTACATGACTATATAGCTAAATATGTGACCTTAAACTTTAATAATACATGTTATTATGATTTTAATATGAATGCATTTCAATCGTTTTTTATTTCAGATATAACGCTAAGAGGCGTCACTGGAGAAGGACAAAGCTCAAGTTGTAAGCTTGTGAATGTGTTAAATGTAATGTAATAAAAACCCTGTAAAGTCAAAGTCAAATTTTATTTAAACCTTTACTTTTTAGTATTTTTTAGAAATATTACATAGATAGATTAACAATGTATTTTTTGTTTGTTTGGTTTATATCAATTTAGCTGCCATTAACGACACTGAAACTAACAAAATTGACAAAAAAGTAGTGGATGTCTTTTTTCAAACGAGGTATAAGGAATTTCTAGCAGTAGGCGGCGGCTTGGCTTTGGTATTGTAATACTTACAAGTGACTATTTACTATCGTGTAGACTGCTCGTCCACAAAGAATTAAAAAAACATTAGATAGGTATTTAAAAGTAGATTCAATATAATAATATAAGATATAATGATTACCTGCCTATGTACGAAGTTCTGGTGAACAATAAACGCCTATTTTTCGGGCAGAGGCCCGAACGAACCCCTAATAGGGGGCGCGCGTGGTATGTGGGACTTGACGGTCTGCAGATATTGGACGAAGCGGACCGCGGGCCCAAGGATGATTTAGAGCCCTACCCACCAACCCCCACCATATGTCCGATCTCCGCCCGAGGTCAGAACCCGGGTATAGTAGATGAGTTTCCGGGGTCAATACTACAACACGACTAGCGGCGCTATCCTGAGAACACTTAACTGACGGGTCGTTAAGGCGATCGTCGACGACCAACGACGCCGGTCCCCACGGTACACTGTCAGGTCCCTGGGCGGTGCCGCTGGTGTTCTAGAACCAACTTTCCAGATTGGCACGCGATACATCCTCAACCGGGTTGCTCTCCTACAGCACACCCAGCGACGACGGCAGCACGGACCACAGCCGCCGACGCGTCGTCCCATCCTCCTGGTGCCAGCGCGCTAGCTACTATAGTGTGCGGCGCAGCCTTGACCCCCTCAGGTCGCGCAGAGACCATCAGGGGGAGAAAAAGAGCTCTCCCTCTCACTTCACTGCCTCTTTCTGCGAGATGGTGGACTCTCTGAAGTCGAGTATCGCCTACCAAGACTTATCGGGGCTACCGTGGTCCTACCTTCGCGACGAGAACACGGCACTACTCCGCGAAAGCGGGAAGACCGCGAGCGCGTGCTCCGCCATGTCCTCGTCGTAGCCATTGCAGTGGTGGCACTGGCATCTGTTCACTCCGTGCGAAGAGAGGCGGCCGAGGAGCTATATAAGACCTGCTTTATGTACTAGTAGAAATATATTAAGTGTATAATCTATGACTAGTAGTATTGAGTCTAGTCTCTAGGTGTAGTCTTGAGCCGCGACGCAGATTATTTCGGCTGATTTCTTACGGCGAAGTAGTCGTTTGTGGTCGAATGCAAATAAGACTTCAATCACTTGTCAGAAATCTTATTTAATTTGGCAAAATGCTAAAAATCATTTCAAAAAATTATATAATGATAATTCAACTTGCCTAAAATTAAAGACGAAGCATTAGCGAATTTGAAAAGCCGCTTTGTTTCAATACTAGGTCAAATGTTACTGTTTTTTAGGCAGAATTAAAAACAGGTACATAATAAAGCAATAGTTTGGTATTTATTTTAAATAATTGTATTAACACTAGCATTTATTGCTTGTACTTGCAGTAAAGGTTTAGCAATATCACAATTTATAATACTGAAAGGCTCAGAACGCCAATTTCATTCCCATGTAAATATGAGACTTATACTATGTCAAGTTGTGTTTTCTTTTGACCCATTTATATGGTTCTCTTCTTTCTTCAACGCTCCTGATTGGATTAGTAGGTCTTCTAACAATAGATCATTGTCTAATATTTCACCACTGCCTGTGCGCTGAAATAAATTAAATATATATATATATATATTTTATCAATGCCAAGTGCGTTTTTATTAGACTTGTGAAGTTTAATACTGTTTTTTAATTACCTGTTGAGCACTAACAGACCGAGCCATTAGTTTCTGTAAATATTTATCTCTTCGGTGCTGCTCTCTTATACTTCTGAGCCGGTTGAAGTCATCTATATCGGGTTCTTCCTCCCCATCCACATCATCGACTGAAAGGAGTAAGTAAGAAATAGGCTTTAATCGAAACAATTTAATACTATTCATGTTTTTTTTTTAAATATTCTGAATACCTACAAATACGAACCATAGATTTTTTTATCGGAACTCACTGACATGCCTCATTAACAATACCAAGTCGATCGCGGTCGCGTTATTTGCTATATAATACTATATATGATATAACAACATACATATTTTATCGCCGGATCTTTAAACTATTGTGTTGGGTGACGTCTTATGACTATGGTAGCCATTTGACACTCCAGCTGTGAGCTTGTTAAACCATTCATACATTGAAACCAGCGTTATCCAAATTGATACCTACGAATTTTATACACATAATCGCGCCATTATTTTTATAATTAATTCAATGAGATCATATTCACGCTTTTTTCCTATCCTATTGTACCCGTGCTTGCATAATTATAATACGTCTAATAATAGTAAACTTTCGCTATCGTAGGACACCACTACAAAACGCAGACGTGTATTTTTTATTTTTTATTGCTTAGATGGGTGGACGAGCTCACAGCCCACCTGGTTTTAAGTGGTTACTGGAGCCCATAGACATCCACAACGTAAATGCGCCACCCACCTTGAGATACAAGTTCTAAGGTCTCAAGTATAATTACAATGGCTGCCCCACCCTTCAAACCGAAACGCATTACTGCTTCACAGCAGAATTAGGCAGGGTGGTGGTACCCACCCGCGCGGACTCACAAGAAGTCCTACCACCAGTAAGAAGCAGCATTCTTGGTAAATCCCTTAGATCAGAGTACCGCGGAAGTCTATAAGGGTCCGTTCACATAGACCGGATCGTATACGTTGAGAATTGGCCGGAGCGGAGCCGCCAACTATTTTACATAGACCGGCTGGAAGAGATCTGAAAGCGGTTGCGCTCGGGTCGGCTACGAGAGCGAGAAAGAGCGCGCAATCGGAGCCGATCGGCTCTTATTATTTCACGCGCAACGCATTCAAGCATTCTTAATGACAAAAATGTGCACATGCAAAAATAAACTTTACTACCATTACTCAAAACTATGTTTCGAACGTGATAAAAATCTGCTATTCTTTTTTGGTGGCGAACTACGACCCATGAGGTCATATGATCCGTGAAGTCTACTAATCATGTCCGCATGTCCGTCATGTTCAACGCGTTCGTAGTTCCTGCATAACAGTACCCTTGGAATGGAAATGGAACTGTCTGAACATGTTAATTTTGACAACTCGGATTGAATGATATAGTTCCATATGAGAACATAGTTCCAGGAACTATTTCGGTCCGGAACTACGCATGTCTAGTCTGAAGATACGCACTGAGTGTCTGGCTGCCGGCAGCGCTGAGCGAGGCGCCGACATCGCTGTCGAGACGCGGCCGCCGCTCGTCGTCGATGTCGGCGAACGAGCCCCGCGCGGTGAGCGAGCGCGCCGTCGGACTCTTGTCGTCTCGCTCGTCGTCGCGCTCGCCGCCCCACTGATTCGGCGCCGAGCGGGACAACCGACTGTCTTCCTCTGAAAACATTACCTCGTGTATTGCAACTATAAAACGATGTTTCCCAGCCCAAAACACGTCATTACGGATCCTCCCGATCCACTAACGGTGCTTTTAGGTACCTCGAGCACCGGTCACCGTCCTCGTCGAACCCCGTCGCTTGCGACGAAGGGCTCGACGAGCGAATTGACCCACAGACACAGCCCACTGAGTTTCTCGCCGGATCTTTTCAGTGGGTCCTCGTTTCCGATCCGGTGGTAGATTCTGCGAAGCACTACTCTTGCCAGGGTCAGTGTTAGCATCTCTCCGGTTTGAGCCCCGTGAGCTCACCTACTAACTAAGGTTACGCTGAAATAGCCTCTCAAGGCTATCAGCTTAGGTAGGAAAAAAAAAAGAAAGAAAAATATGTTTTCCAATTCCTCAATACAGCGCGACCGCATGGCGACATAGTTGATGCAAGCAGTTTGCTTATTAACCCTTTGACTGCCATGTAGGTCGCCGGTGCCCTACGTGACGCACTGAAGTAATGTCGAATTCTGTTACTAAGTATCTGGATTTCCTTTACCTTCTTTTGTTTGTTAATGTATGTTTTAGTCTTTTTGGTGTCTCAGAAATAGATTAATTCTTAGTATCTCCGTATTTGTCTTTCCCAGAGTTTAGTAGATATTCCGGCGCCTTAGTAAGAAGATCGAAGAGAGAAGTCGACATAATTACTTCAGTGCACCACGCAGGGCACCGATGACCTACACGGCAGAAAGTCTTAATCTATGTTCAATAAACTGAGGCCGTACATAATTTATATGATAATTGATTTACATTGCGTGCATTATGCAAAAATATAAAATTTTATGCTGCTGAGCAAATAGATAATCCATTCTCATATTTAAAAAAAAATACAAACCGCGCAATATAGAAGAACAAATATCCACATAATGACGAGAACAGCATTAATTTTCTATAATACGTACTAAACAAATCTTAATAGTTAGTGTAAACTACCCGCTATATAACGTTTAATGATTCACTTCGGCATTAGTCGTAAACGCTGGAAGAATACTCACTGGAGCTGTGATTCGAATTTCGTGACGGCACGTTAACTGGATCGCTGGGCGGAAGAGGTTTTTGCGCAAACAAACTCATCGCAGTCGGCCTGCAATGGAAACAATAAATGCAAACGCAAAACTAAAAGTTGAGGGTCGGCCTTTGTCCGAACACGTACCAAATACATATCAAACAGGAGATTTTAAAAGTAAAATTTTGAAACTGTAGCCGTCGATTAGTGAAAGCTATTTTTGTATCCGTCCAATAGCTTCGTAGTTCCATAATATCATGGGGTTGGTGTTATCATTAATTGAATATGCAATTCCGAAAAGGGCACATCTCTGAAAATGTAAAATGTTCAGGAAATATGAAAAAAAACTGATTATTTTCTAAAGCAGTGTAAAATTTAAAACATTAACTTTTGAAATATATTTCAGTGTTAATTAGCAATTGAAAATTACATGATTTATTATAAAATGGGTGTAGGTGAGCCTCAAAACTACTACGAAAAAACGTATTTGACAAAATATGCGACATGTGCCCTTTTCGAAATTGCATATTCAATTTGAATTGAAATAAATTAGTGATAGGGGTTGGGCCCAATACATTTAGGTCTGCAACAGTAGCAGTTACAGAGGTATATGTACCTACTAATGTTGCAGTAAATATTCAGGCCAATGAAAATAAATTGAAAAGGATATTTTGTTACACATCAGAGTTGCAAATAACAACATAAAAATTGATTAACAAAAAGGTAAGTTTTCCTGCTTCGTAGCGAACGACGCCTTACAATTTATGACGTAAAACAAATTGAATAAGACTAAGTCACCGATAAAATATGCGGTGTTTAAACTTCATTTGTTTATTGGCGGTAGGACCTCTTGTTAGTCCGCGCGGGTAGGTGCCACCACCCTGCTTATTTCTGCCGTGAAGCAGTAATGCGTTTCGGTTTGAAGGGTGGGGCAGCCGTTGTAACTACACTGAGATCTTAGAACTTATATCTCAAGGTGAATGGCGCATTTACATTGTAGATGTCTATGGGCTTCAGGAAACACTTAACACCAGGTGGGCTGTGAGCTCGTCCACCCATCTAAGCAATAAAAAAAATCATTGAAGAAAAAAAAACGCTACGTTTAAATCTAAAATACATTTACATAATAGCATACAATAATTGACCACAACCTTTAGAGACAACGTGAAGATAAATTACGAATCAAATTCTAGGAGCTTGTGAGAGTTCAGCGTTCTAACTTCCGAGGTCGTTTATTATTAGGGGAATGTGCCCATTCGCGTTTCGCGTATTGCCCGGATATGAATATTAATTAGCTAACGTACGTTTGATGACGTGACTACGTTCGTTCCTAGAATTTCATTGCTTTGATTACGTAAGCTCTACATCTGTCTGATTAACCACATTGATTAACGCTAAGATATTTTTTTATTGCTTAGATGGGTGGACGAGCTCACAGCCCACCTGGTGTTAAGTGGTTACTGGAGCCCATAGACATCCACAACGTAAATGCGCCACCCACCTTGAGATATAAGTTCTAAAGTCTCAAGTATAGTTACAACGGCTGCCCCACCCTTCAAACCGAAACGCATTACTGCTTCACGGCAGAAATAGGCCAGGGTGGTGGTACCTACCCGCGCGCACTCACAAGGTCCTACCACCAGTAATTACGCAAATTATAATTTTGCGGGTTTGATTTTTATTACACGATGCTATTCCTTCACTAAATCTGTAAATTAGGTTCGTTGTATTTATTAACTGCATCAGAATAATGCAGAAATTTCTTTAATTCTTTTTTCAAGGTATTTTTCATTTCGAATGTTTTATGTTCGATACGGTTCGATTCAGTTTAAATTGTTTTTATGTAGAAACTGTTTTTAACAATACAATGAATCATAACCGTTAAATTATGAATTATAAAATTATTTAAAAAAAAAACAAACACAGAATGGTTTAATTCTGCGTCAGCCATGTCGGTGCCTGCTCGTATCACCACTGTGTACGACTAGACAATACGTACATTAACCATTATGTTAAGTGGTCTCACCGCGATGAGTTTTTGTGTTACGGTTGCGATCAAATGTTTTTTAGGAATCGTTACGCTAATTGGATTTGAATTTGGTAGGGAAACCACGATACTAATTTTGTATCATTAATTGTTAAAAATAATTTAATATTTTATCAAGGTATTTTTTTGTAGATTATTGAAAGGAATAAAGTGCCGTGTATAATGTAACCGTATTATATTATAGGGGGAGAATTTTATCATCATATTTTTATATTTAATGCATATTGAGCAAGATCGAGAGACTGCTAATTAATAAAGCTTTTGCAGCAGGCACTTGGGAAAAAATTGTACTAAATAGTCAAATAGTTATGTGTTAGGTTTTTAACTTACTAACATAGATTATAAGTAATTCTGACAAACAGATTGTGTGCAAAAGATACATAATATTATATGTATAGGTAATGATGGCGGTACGATATGCCAAAATACGCTCGCACGTATATGTACCAACATCCTGCTTGTTTATATAATGTCTCATCCTTCTAACCGAACATCTATGGGTGGACATCCCTGGGTTCCGGCAACCTCTCAACAAAAAGCGGACTGTGAACTCGCCCACCCATCCACAGCAACAAAAACCGACTGGCGTTTTTCGTATTGGTAATATGTATCTGACACGTTGGAGATGTGGCTATATATAATCGATACTTATAATATATAGTCAAATGGGCTTATATGCTTCTGGATTTCATATTTTTTTAAATATTTCATTATATTTCTATTCAATTATTCTTTTTTTTTTTTAATATCAAGTTGTTGTCAACTATTGCATTGACGATTGTACCTATAATTGAGTTGACTTTTTCACGTACTTCTTGTCAATTTATCGATACTTTTGATGATCACTTTGTTGATATAACTGAATAAATAAAGAAATTATTTAACATTAAATCACCGAATTCTACATTTTTAGTTAGTTGTATACGTATATTTCTTTATTCTTTTAAACATGACATAAAAGGATCGATGAAGTTGTTAAGAGAGTTTTAACTGTGAATGTTGAAGGCTTTAGAGGAAGAGGTAGACCATGGCAAAAATGGATGGATTGCGTGAAAGACGATATCTGTAAGAGAGTATCTGTATATGATAGAGGAATATGGAGGGAGAAATCACGTTAAAACACGACCCCAGGTGACTGGGAGAAGGGCAGGAGCATGATGATAAAAGGATCGATTTATTTTTTATTTTAACCTATATGGTTTTAGCGTAAAAATTAGAATAATTTATACGTTAATTCAAAATCTTACTGGTGGTAGGGCCTCTTGTGAGTCCGCGCGGGTAGGTACCACCACCATGCCTATTTCTGCCTTGAAGCAGTAATGCGTTTCGGTTTGAGGGGAAGGACAGCCGTTGTAACTATAACTTGAGACCTTAGAACTTATATCTCAAGGTGGGTGGCGCATTTACGTTGTGGAGGTCTATGGGCTCCAGTAACCACTTAACACCAGGTGGGCTGTGAGCTCGTCCACCCATCTAAGCAATAAAAAAAAATTAAAATTTAATCTATACGTTCACATTGGAGCGCGGGCGTAATCGCGACACGTAATTAGTTTTGGTATAATTATATAAGTGTACCTGTTGTCGGGTCGTTTGCCCATACTCGTGATGGTGGCCTGTTCGTCGACCTCTTCGATGACTTCATTCGCGATCTTCATGCTGCCGCCCGCCGTGGCTGGCTTGTTCAAGGTCGGGTTGCTCGCCGAAATCGTGAAACGGTTACCTGAAATTTTATTATTTGTTTATACTACGCTTATTTTTTGAAATGACCAATTAGAAAATAATAATATAGACTAACAAAAAAAAAAAAACAAGAAAAAACTTCTGGTCGTGATGCGTTAGCTGATTTTAATAATTTTGCTAATTTCAATTTTACTTACATAGTTATAAGTATTACTCTACTTACAATATATGGACTTAAAATGGTCTGAATTAAATGATATTTTTTTTTATTAATATTTTTTTATGCTACGTTTATTTTTTGAACTGACCAATTAGAAAATAATAATATAGACTATATAAAAAAAAAGGCTGGTCGTGATATGTTGGCTGATACGTGAGTTATCCACGTGTATCAAACAAATCGTCGTCTATCGGATCGTTGCATTAATTTAGTGAAGGCATAGGAATAATTTAACAGATTCTTCAAAAACATTTTTATATTAAACAAAACCGCGATAAACTACTTTACATTTTAGCAAGGTGATGCTTTGCAGAAACATGGAATGCATACACATAAACATTATAATTGTATATTTTTTTATAACCGTAATCGAACCGCATCTGAAGTCATCGAGTATTAATAAAATAAAAAAACTGAAAGCATTTGTGATGTATCTTTCCTGTTTTTTTTGGACTATCACGCAAAAAGTAGCGGATCGATTTTAATTGGTTCATTTCGCTGTAATGATAGGAAAGAGGTTTGACAATAAAATACGTACAAATTTAGTCTTTAATAAGATTCCTTATTCATTATTATCCAATTGTTTTCTAATGTCGATTTCATTACGACAAAATCCACACATTATAGTCGCAAAAGAAGGTTTTACGAAAGGAAAACATTGATTTTAACATACAACATTGACTTTACCTACATATTCATTGATAGATCTATTAAAGTGTTATGTTTTTAACATTCACATACAGGTAAAGTCTAGTTTGGCGGTCAAAATAGTCATTTACACTGATTCGAGGAAAACTTCGTTCAAGGAACACGCCTACATCTCAGAAGCGAGGTTGAATTTAGCGTTAATTGAAAACAGGTCAATGAATAAAGTTGTTGGAGTGTATTAATAATACATAGTTCTTATTGTTCAGTTGGTGAACGTACTTAAGTCTTATTCGGTGATTAGTGGACACTCTTTATTAGACACTAGCGACCCGCCCTCGCTTCGCTTCGGAAACTGTAATTTATTATTGATTTCTCCACTATTTAATAGATGCTATTATACATATAAACCTTTCTCTTCAATCACTATCTATTAAAAAAAGCCGCATCAAGATCCTTTGCGTAGTTTTAAAGATTTAAGCATACATAGGGATATAGGGACAGAGAAAGCGACTTGTTTTATACTATGTAGTGATGAAGTCTGAGTTTCGATTGTAAGTATAAAGACTGTTTCACCCATCATTCTGGACGTCCATGCGAGCTCACTTTTCCCCCCTACTTATTCGCTAGCGTAGGGGGTTATTCCAGCTATTCATATTTACGCCCCACCACACATTCAAATTCCCCCTCCTCCCATCCACCCTATTTTCGAATCCCTGCATGAATCCTTTAATACCATTTCGTAAACGCTCCAAGGTTTTAAATAACAATGTTTTTTTGTTTTTATTCTTTGTATCAAATTAATATTATTCCGCCCGCGTTAAACGGTACATTGACCCTGAATTTAGATTCAGTTACATCGCGTGCTGTATCAAAAATACTATTAAGCTTCGATATTTCGATTTCGAATCCCAAGTTTTTTTGTATCGATACAATAAAATACGAATAAACAGTTCCTTGATTAACAAAAGTCTGGAGCGACTCACCGCTATCAGTCTGCGTGGCAGTGACAGAGGCAGTAGTCGGTTGCCGTTGCTCTTCCTTGGAGAACAGTCTTTTGAGCATCGATGTGACAGAATTAGTTCTGTTCATAGGCGTTTGCTGTAGCGACGCCATCGAGTTAGAGGAACCCATAGAGTTCCTTTCCTCCTTCTTTCGCTTACTGCTTCCGCGGTGGACGATGAAGTGTATGCCAGACTGCGCGTCGTCGCTCATTTGAATTTGCTACACGAACAAAATATGTAACCGTTTTATAATTTGTTTCTGCTAGAAATGATATTGGAAAAATAATCTCGGTTAAAAATATCAATAGCTAGTTGGATTTAATTTTATTGCACGATACATTAGTGAAGTGAAGAATTTTATATAAATAGTTAAACAAAGTTCGAAAGAAACACTGGAATGTTCTATTACATTCGATAGTTAAATTTAAAAAAAAACCTAAATGTTAAAAAATTATAGCGTTAGCAGAGAAAAGATATGCGAGAAATAAGATATCAAAATAGAAAAGTCGCGTACAGGGATACACAACAAATAAGAAAAACGATTGATTGTAATTTTAAAACAATATACATTAGACAATTAATCACTCATTAAGAACGAATACAATAAAATACACAAAAAAAAAAAATTCTTTAAGTTCAAGGTTAAAAAGAAACAGATGTTGAACATGCAAGAAACGCTTCACATTGTTAGGAAAATAGATTTTCGATAGAAATGCTATTAGCATTTATTTCACAAAAACTGGTTATTTACATAACATCTCAAGGCTGTTAGCTTACAAGTTGTCTAAAGACGTTTAGATTGCACTGAAATATGATATACATAANGTACAGGGATACACAACAAATAAGAAAAACGATTGATTGTAATTTTAAAACAATATACATTAGACAATTAATCACTCATTAAGAACGAATACAATAAAATACACAAAAAAAAACATTCTTTAAGTTCAAGGTTAAAAAGAAACAGATGTTGAACATGCAAGAAACGCTTCACATTGTTAGGAAAATAGATTTTCGATAGAAATGCTATTTGCATTTATTTCACGAAAACTGGTTATTTACATAACATCTCAAGGTTGTTAGCTTACAAGTTGTCTAAAGACGTTTAGATTGGACTGAAATATGATATACATAAAAACAGTTAATTTGTGTTACGCGGCCTTGTTACGTTTGATATTAATCTTAATTTTAAGATATTAGTTTGTCACATGCCGTCGAGTGGACTACTTTTGTTAATAATATGTAGTCATTAGGTTGTATTTAAAAAAAGGGCTGCCAAATTAATTTTTATTCGACCAATTCTCGATACGTACTTTATTGTTTATTTAATAACTTCCTATAAAATCGATTATTCTGTTCTTTCTTTTTTATCATAACAGTTTTTATCACAAAAAATAATCGCCGCAAAGTTATGATGTACTGTCTACAATAAAATGTTAATTGAATCGATAGGTACGAATATTTGTATTATTATTTTTTAGGCTTGATATACACCTAAACGTCGAACGGATTCATTCTTTTCGCTTTGTAAGGCCGCTCGTTTCGTCATAGATAAATTACCAAGGTTACATTAGTCACCAACACACTCCAAAATTTTCGATGATATTAAACCAATGCTAATAAAAATAAAATATAATTAACATAATATGTATGTACTTAAAATATTTTAAATACCAATATCAAAGTTCCACACTAGAAATCCAATAAGAATGAAACGGAAAGATAAATAGAGAATAAAATGTATATTGGCAACCCTTGACACCGACACACTGCTAAGCTCCAGCTCCGGGCGTGCAGCATGCTTAAAAATGCGACGTCTCTAACCTCTGGCGGGGCGAACTTGTAACTCACGGTGTTGGAGGGGACCATCTCGTCGATCTTGACGGACGAGGGCGCGGTCAGGACCATGCTGCGCTGGCGGACCGGCACCGCCACGCGAGCTGTCGAAGGCTCCGGGTGCTCCTCGCGCTGGTTCTCCGTGGCTAACGTGTACGGCAACTCTGACGGGAACACCTCGTCCCAGTACTGATCTTTCACCAACTCGGGATGCTCATGGTGCATCTCATCGACTATCATGTATGAAACCTGCGCGTATTTATGGTGGATTCAATAGACATTTATAACGGCTAATCGACGATCTAACGACTTTTATCGTTTATGGCATATTTGAGGTCCCAATCTCAGCTAGAGATCTCTACAGTCTATGTCTGATTGCAGTAGACACCAAACTCCCCTGCACTCTCGCTCGATTTCTTACCGGAACAGAACCCGGGGAGATAGAAGGGACTCTACTTTTTTAGTAATTAATCTATGGTAGCTTAAGGGGAGTAGCTGTTCCAAGTACGCGCCAATCGGTATGTAAGCTCACGGGCTAATTCTGGAGAATTCCTAACACTGGCCCTAGCAAGAGCAGTGCTTCGCTGAATCGGATCGGAAACGCGACCCACTAGGATCGGACGAGAAACTCAGTGGGCTGTGGTGTGTGTGTGTGTGTGTCCTTAGGCTAGTTCGCACGTCGAACTCTTCGTCGTGATCGCCGAGTACAAGAACGGTGACCAGAGCCGAAAAGCACCTAGACCGGTTTCTAACGTCAGTCGCAATGTGAAATTGATACCCTACCTTTACTTTAATAAATCAATAAATTCTTATATTCGTACCTGTAAATCTCTATCGATTATCCAGTTAACTTCGAAATCATCGTCGTCCTCACCAAATGGATTTATAAGAGATTCGGCTACTTTCAACCAGCCCATATAGAAGAAGAATTCTAACGTACTGAATATCGGGAAATAGAGATCAATATTACTAATGTACGTTGATTCAGCAGACTGCATTTTGTTATCGACCCACTGACTGCCGAGTGCAGACGTTATGAAATATGAGTATACAGCAATTGTCACTACCTGGAATGTTTGAATGAGATAACAACTTCTTCGTATTTATGTATGTACATATATATATTTATTTATTTTAAACGCATACAAACCTGAGTGTAAACCAGTGGTACGCTTATGGTATCATAACTGAGGAGAAGTCCCGCTTGTGCTCTAAATTTATTTAATTCATCTATTATAGTTTTAACGGCAAAATCGTCTCTTATTCGGCCCTCCTTACGGGCCCTCGTCACAATACTAGCCGCCCACACTATTGGTAACCTGAAGCCAGTTTATGAATAAAAAGAGACAAGTCGAATGTAAATAGCTCGCAATTCGAACAGGACAAAAACTAGTTAATTTATGAATTGGAACGCACTAGTCTTCGCATTAAGCAGCGTCTATAAATAATAATGACATAATACATACATAAATCATAACAATAAAAACAAAATGTCTTGTGACTACAAGGAACATAGAGTATATTTTATCAAGTGTTCAAAGAGCTAGGACTGACATGGATAATGTAAAATTATCACTGATAAGATAGCAATGACATTTCTGCTCCTGACAAATGGATGAAATTACACACGATACAAATTACATAATGTTTGCGGAGTCTACGTAAAATGGATTTGGAAAACTACTGCTTCTTTTTTTTAAGGACATCTAATAACGCACTATCATCGCTAAATATAGAGATCGAGATATAATACAAAAAACTTACCAGTGCTTCGTTGTCTTTGGAAATTTTTCATTCATATTGTTAAGTATTGATTTTTCATTTTCATTCATTATGCCGGCCTCGGTAAAGTTGTCGAGCGTCGGAAAACGCTTCTTGACTCTTGGAGATATCATCGTTAACACCATCGTCAGACAGAGACATACATAGCGCACGATTGTCCGACGCATCAACCTCCCACGTTCATCCTGGTAACTCCAATCATGTTATTATTAATCACGTCCTTTCATTAAAAAAAAAAAAGACTAATACGTGGCATGACGTCACAAATTATCATTTACAGAACATTATCTAGGAATGCAAAGATTGACAACGTCATATATTACAAACAAATAAGTGTTAATCTTATCTATCCCTTTGTTTACAACAAATCCAACTTGACCTAAATTCTAACTAATCTAAACTAAACAGAAATGTACGGAAACACAATACCACCATTTTTTTATTATTATAATAAACACATTTTCTACGTATCTATTTGCGTTTACGTTATGTAAATACCGTAGATGCGAATAGTTATGTATTACTTAACAATACATGACTTATGTATGCATATTGATTACACGCAGCAATCCAACATGACAGCGATTGCGGAAAAACCTTGCCGACAGTTTCTATTGCTTTGTGACCAAACAGCTAGACAATTAAAGATATAAATGCGACAATTTCAGTTATCTAATGGATTAGATTGTAAGTATATCGTTACATACAATATCACACATAATTCAATCGACAGGTTTTCACGTTATCATCGTCATAAAACACTTAAAGCATACATGCAAGATAATGAACTGCACGGAAATTGGTTAGGTCATTTACTTACAATGGGAAATAGGAAAATAATTTTTAATCCACTAATTCTATATAGTTTTTGGTACTCAAATTATCACTACTAGCGATGTAAAACTGAAAATACATATGTAACGATCGTGCATACACAATGTTTTAGTATTCAACAACGTACTGTTTTTTTAAGCACATTGCTCGTTGCAAACGGCAACCAACCGCAAAATATTCGTAACAGCGGAGCCATCGTGACTGACGAAATAAAAAATAAATTCTCGTTTATTTTCTACCGATATCTTTAACAAGAAACGAAAATTAATTAATTAATTGTATTTTATTACCTGTCCATGTATCGTGGCTGACACGAAGACGGCAATCGAATCAGGCCACGGTATCGTTGTGTATTGATTCCACCAGCGGTTCATTACTACAGTAACATAGAAACCTAGTACGAACGACAAAGGGATCACATTCCCGTGGAAATGACAATAATTCACTATTCCTTCGAACGTTCTATAAAAAAAATACAAACATTCCATTTATTTAACTACATAATTATGTAAATATTTTTTCCCTACCTATGCTGATAGCCTTGAGAGGCTATATCAGCTTCTCCTTGAGCTGGCCCTAGCAAGAGCAGTGCTTTGCAGAATCTATCACCGGATCGGAAACGCGACCCACTGGGAAGATCCGGCGAGAAACTCAGTGGGCTGTGTCTATGGATTAATTTACTCGTCGAGCTCTTCGTCGCAAGCAACGGGTTCGACGAGGACGGTGACCGGTGCTTGTGGTACCTAAAAGCACCGTTAATGGATCGGGAGGATCCGTAATGACGTGTTTAAGGCGACGTCGACTGTTTACCATTCGGTCTACAGGAATGGGTATGAGTAAATACAATTACATTACATTATTACAATTACATTGTATTACTCTACGACGAAATGATCAAATAAAGGTATGTTATATATTTAGAGTGAGTTACATTTAATAACTATTCATGAAAACGGACATCTGCCGTTTGTTTTTATTACACATCCGTGATTTTCAAATCGTAACTCCATTGGTAGAATTGCTACGCTCTCAATCGCTATTACGATACATCAAAAAAAGCTTTGTGTGTGTACATAATTAAAATTCAATTTAATAAAATACCTCTTCGCATTTTCATCTAGAAGTAAGCGATATGTTAAATTGAGTATATAATACAAAAGCAGGAAAACTAGAAGATCTAGCCACACCAGTTTGTATATACTGCCGCGCCATCTGAAAACAAGAAAACGGGTACTACATTAGCGTGCTAATGACAGGTAAGAACATCTACCTAATGTTCTATTGTCAAGGCAGACTGAGTTTATTTACGGTAATGTCTATTATAACCTCGATAAAAGATGGCCAAGCAGTGCATGATAATCTTAAAACCGCGATGCGAATAGTGTCAAAAACAAATTGTACACTTACATGAATACTAATTGAATGAGAGATAGCATCAATACAGTCTATTAGTATTCATAAGAATCTTTATCGCAAACGTTTCAGTGTTGATTACGTCATTTTACTCAGTATTCGGCGTATACTGATACTATGACGATTCCTTACACTTGTGAAGATGACCGTGATTGCTTATTCACGAGCGAACATTACAGTCAAGATGTTCTCGTGTAGTATTTTAGCCATAAGTATTGAATAGAATCATAATTATATGACTATACCAAACGTTTTTACAATTTAAGTTCGATTTTTGTATTCGTTTTATATGACTGTAAATAGGCAGACGAGTTCACGGTCCATCTGACTTTAAGTGGTTAGCGGAGCCTTTATTTAAATCAGGATATAAATTGCAACTTGAGAGGTGACTTTAGTCGTATAACAGCTGGTCCACATCCATCAAAAGACTGCATCGCAACAGAAATAGTCAGAATGGTGGTGCCTAACTGTGTTCAAAAACGCGCTACTTCGCCTTTAATTGGTAAATGAATCTTCTTCTTGAAGTAAGTAAACCTTTGAAAAGGGCAACCGATTCATTTCGGTGAAATTTATTTGTCTTTATGACCGTGAGTGGCCATTCATTCGAAAAACAATGACATGACGCATAATAACCGTCTCCGAATTCAATTTTATTTTTGGTCACTTAGATGTGATGTTAAAATAACCTTGACTTCGTAGCGGGAGCAGCTGTTGTGTATTTACAAATGTTTGCACGCGATCGCTGTTCTACAATACACATCATGTGGTATTAGGATAACGCTTACAAATAAATTTTAATCGATTTTAATTGTTCTTTGTACATCAACGAAATAATGATATTGCTGTTTCAACAGCTTCCGCGAGTTATTAGTCATCACAAAGATAAAGACATGATAAACGATTGAGATATAAAAATATTACAATTTATTTTTGGTAGTTTTTAAATATTTTGTGAGCCTCTCAATTGTAAATGTATATACGTACGTATCTATACTATACAGATTACTATGAAATAATGTAGAAATCTATAATAAATCTGTAATCTGTACGAAATTCAGAATTATTTTCTTTTTCTTTCCAAGTTGCCGTATAACAAAACAGACGGAATATTTTAATTGGTCTATTATAAGAAAAAATCCGAGTCGACCAAACCCGTGATATCACTCAAGCGAAGAGAATGTTTTTTGCGACGAGCCTGTTAACAAACTCTACATGAGGTGTACAAGGTAATCGCAGTTAATTAACATTTTTGGTATACTTCGGTAGAAATATGGTTACTGAAGCGTTCATCAACTGTATCGTAGATATCTATTGGTGACACGTAGTTTTATTATATATGAGGCCTATACAATCAAAGGCAGCTAAACGCCATAATGTCGTAAAATATGTATATTAACAATGGCTCTATCTTGTTTAGTTAGTTGAACATGCTTTAGTGTTTTCATGTTATAACAAATGCAGCTAAATCTCTAACAAATTCAGTTCAAAAAAGTTAAGTTTACTCTGTATTAAGTACTAATAAATGAAGTTTTATCATTTAAAATTCAAATTATTAGTAATATTCTCCTCATTCTTTATAAATCTGTTTTAAAATAAAGAATATCGTAGCTATACGAACAAAGTTATTTCAGATTCTCAAACCGGGAGTGTTGCTAACACTGGCCCTAGCAAGAGCCGTGCTTTGCAGAATCTACCACCGGATCGGAAACGCGACCCACTGAGAAGATCCGGCGAGAAACTCAGTGGGCTGTGTCTGAGGGATTATTCTCATCTTATTTATGTATAATAACATTAATTCCTATCTTAAGTTCAGAGTATAATTTCACCCGATAACTCGCACTGTATGGTTTTACTTGGTACTACCGCTCTGCCTTTTCATGCTTCGGTATGATAGATAGGATAGACGTTATTCTAATAAAATACAGTCCCCATATTTATATCAAAGTGCACGGAAATATCCATAGTAATGCCTATAATCTCCGGTAAATGTTTCACGAAGCATATGTACAAAGCAGAGATGAGAGGTTCGCCAACAGCAAAACCTGCGCAGAAGGACCCATTTGTCAAGGCGTCGCAATTCCAAAGAGTATACGTGCAATCTTCCACGAGTTGGGATACTTGAGATCGACGTTTCGAGCGATGTCCAATATTAAACATTCGGAGAGTAAAGCCAAGTTTGCGCCAAAAATGCTGGGATACTCAAAAGAGCGAAGCGGTACTTCACGCCTGCACAAAGACTTTTGCTTTACAAAGCACGAGTCCGGCCCCGCGTGGAGTATTGCTCCCACTTCTGGGCCGAGATTCCTAAATACCAACTACTTCTATTTGACTCAATACAGAGAAGTCGTTCAGATTGTCGGTAATTCCGTTCGCACGGATCATTTCGCACCTCAGGGTCAAAATTCAAATTAAAATTTCAAAATCATTTATTTCAACTTAAATGTGTATAATACATTTGTTGAATGTCAAAATATAAACAACCATGTTAACTCTACCACCGGTTCCATAAAAAGCCACAGTCCTGAGAAGAACCGGCGAAACAAACACACCGGGCTTTTTTTTTGTTTTTTCTCAAATATTTTCTTTTTTTTTTAAATATGTAACAATATTTGCAATAAACGAAAAAACAAGTCAAAAAATACAATTACAAAATAATAATAATAATGAAAAATGAAATGGCCAGGAGCGAACGCCTCATTCCCACGTAGTGCCATCTAGTAGATAATCCTTAACTTTATAATATGCCTTGTTGCACAAACGTTCCTTGACAGTTTTCTTAGATCTATGAACAGGTAGTAATTGAACGTTTTGTGGGATCTTGTTGAAAAGTTGTACACCCAGCCCCCTAAAAGAGTTGCTTATTTTCTTAATTCAAGCCGCCGGCAACGCAAGCCTATGTTTGTTCCTAATGTTCAGATTATGCAAATCGCAGACTGGGGAATTCTTCAATGTTTTTACGCACGTACAATAAATTTTGAAAAATGTATTGGGACGCTAAAGTTAGAATTTTGATTTCCTTGAACTTGTCCCTCAAGGATTCCCTCGGGTGCATATTATAAATAGCACGAATAGCCCTCTTCTGCTGGATGAAAATCGTTTCGACATCGGCAGCATTGCCCCATAGCAAAATGCCATAGGACATAAGACTATGAAAATAACTGAAATAAACCAGACGTGGCGTATCTTCATTAGTATACGTTCGTATTTTTTTTACCGCAAACGCTGCCGCGGTCTACGGAGGAACTTCGGTTCTCTCTATGTTTTGTACCGTATGTTCCATGGGGAGTGCTCTGATGATTTCGACATCTCAAACAGTTCACAATAAACACGAAATTCATTTATTGCCCTACTTTGCGATTCATTTATTTCATACGAACAATTAGCGTAAACAATGAAATATGTAAGTATTTCAAATGCAAATTGAAGAGCGGACGACTCATGAATGGAAATGTTTCAATTATTTACAGATATTTCATGTACTTAGGTAAGTCAAATTCGAGAATTATGTTAAATAAGAAAGCGTATCCAGTGAAGATAAATAGCTAAATTTTACTAGTTTACTAACATAATCACAATTAGATTACAAAAGACACGATAAAATTTAACATGTTTTTTTTCTCTTCCGATTGGTTAAGTTAATTTTATGTTGCCAATCGTTTTTTATATAACTATAACAATCGTTTTTTTAAGACGCAAATAAAATTAACCATTGATTTTGCTAATATGTATAACGAAAAATTATATCTACGTTTAAAAAAGACAGTATTACAAAAACTTATTCAAGTTTTTTTTTTAAAACGTGAAATTAAAAAATCGATATAAATGAAAAAAAGTAATCGTGTACAGGCTTGATGTTCTTTGTGGTGTCAAAGCATGCTCTAACGCTATTAAAATGCAGTTAGCGCATTTTAATTATAGTTTTTCAATTACAATCGACCTTAATGCAAAGCGGCAAAGTAATGTAAACTATAAAACGATCGTCCTTGATACGAGTGATACGACATTTAAGTACTGTGCTTTGATTTTAATTTGATTTACATAGTTATGATAACAAGTAAGAAGGGTCAATACACGCTACTTTTAACACTTAGTCTAAAATTACTCAAGTCTTGTTTATGGACAATTTGTTTCTTCGGATTGTACTGTTTACGCATTTTAATATTAACTACACTAACCAACAAATTTTTATCGTATGATGAATTGATGACATAATATACCTATCAATGAACGAATTCATTATATACATATATGTACATTTATGCATCTTTTCTATTTAAAACAAGAAACATAATTGTGTTCTTCTAGAATTGTAAAAATGTGTAACTAACTTTGTCCGGTGGAAATTCCTGAAATAAATCTATACTAATGGATTATAAATGCCGATGTCTGTTACTGAATCACAACAAAAACGGCATAACAGATTGCAATATCATTTCACACTTAGATAGTCTATTTATCGTGGTATATGATATGACCTGGGCTATTCCCGGTATATGTACATATATCTCATATTAAATACAGCAATGTGTTCGCTGATTCGTGATTAATCATACCGAGGAATGTACAAATGGACTATAATTTCTTATAGACCAGAGATTGACATAAGCTATTCTTTATCCCGGAAAATGCAACGTCTTTAATTTTTTCTGAATGACAAATATTAAACGCAAGTGAAACAGCGGCGCATGTCTAGTTGGAATAGATATTATCTCTCACCGAAAATAGATTTGAGTAAGATAAATAATATTATTTGCAATATGTATGGGTTATATTTTGCTCCACACTCTTTGAAAGTCCAT